CATACACAACATTTACCTCAATAAATTACGTGCAAATGACTAATAATAATAAACGTCTCAGATGAAGAAAAACATTCTGAATCAGATAAGAAATCCTTTTAAAGACTCAAACATAACAGAGGTTAAAAATTAAAATGAAACATAAAAACTACTCAGAATGTTGCGCTTGTGGTTAAATCTGCACAAAGGAAAGTCATTTATCACAGACATCTAAATCACCTGCAGAAGAAAACAGCAGTGATCACAAAAGCTTCACGTTTGGCACCGAACGCAGACGGACATTTCAGCTCTGAAAACATTACAGACAAATACATACAACCTCAGGCTTTGCTGCAGAGAATGTTCTGGATAAATCCGTATTATTGCGCTACATGATCATGTCGTGAGTCTGTAATAAAGACTCGTGCTTGATAAACACGTCTGAGGCAAACTGATCAGCAGTTTCATCAAACACCCGAACAAACTGAAGCTTCACAGATGAGCACGTTTAGATAGTTTCCACAAAAATGAACTGAAAATACACTCCTACAGCTGCAGCAGTCGTAACACCTTCCCTTTATATTATCACTAAAGTGTCAGATTACAGTGTTGACTGGTGATTACATGGACATGTGCTCCGGAAGCACATAGGAGATGTCATCCCAGGGGTGGCGGTACAGACCCTGCTTCAGCCTCTTCTGGTCCAGGTAGTGTCCTGAAAAGACATGAAATTTAACAGATGAACTCCCAGGAAACACACCTACTGTTGAGGAGATGCCAGCGTGGCGCCTGACATGACTCACCGATGAACCCCATGCTGCGTCCCAAAACAAAGATACCGTTCAGAGCCCCGATTTCTACAAACTCATCAGCTTCATCCCTGAGACAAACGTGAAGACAGAGGTAACATTATTCATGTCTGGTTATTTTGTTTAAGTAAACACGTAGAAAAATAGAAACAACCCGTTATCTTCCCACCAAACAATCAACGTTGCATGGATGTGCAGATCATACTGAGTCCGTTGGTCCAAGATCAATTCTGGACTTATGTTGGACGTGCACACCAGGTCCACCATTCAGATGCCTAACTATGACCCCATTTGGACGTCCATATGATGTGAAACATTTGGACCTTGGGTCAGACAGCTTTTTGGACATCATGGACCCTGAGATCAGTGGACACAGTGATCTCCTTTAAAAAGCACCTGAAGACTCACCTGCTCAGGCTGGTTTTGGTGTGACCTTCATCACCCTCTCCTTGTTCTGCCTTCCCCAGGATCCACTGAAGGAAATCTCTCTCTCTCTCTCTCTCTCTCTCTCTCTCTCTCTCTCTCTCTCTCTCTCTCTCTCTCTCTCTCTCTCTCTCTCTCTCTCTCTCTCTCTCTCTCTCTCTCTCTCTCTCTCTCTCTCTCTCTCTCTCTCTCTCTCTCTCTCTCTCTCTCCTCTCTCTCCTCTCTCTCTCTCTCTCTCTCTCTCTCATTCCAAACATGTCGTTGTCTCTCTCTCTCTCTCTCTCTCTCTCTCTCTCTCTCTCTCTCTCTCTCTCTCTCTCTCTCATTCCAAACATGTCGTTGATCATTTTTGAAATCTTTTTAGATTTGAAATGTTTTGTTTTTGTGAAACACCTTGTGACTTTTATCTTGAGAGGCGCTGTAGAAAAGATTGTTTTCTTTCTTCTTTCGTTCTAACACAGGTGCAGGAAGTCATATAGAAATGTTGTTGCTGTTGATAAACTACATGACAGATAACCTTAAGTAAGCTTTAGTTATTTTTAGTAATACTAAAAACATTAAGTCAGGAATCATTTAAAACCAAATGATCTTCTGACCGTGTGAATCCACCACAGGTTCTGAGCAGGTCCACGAAGGCCACACCGATGAGACCGTCCACATTCAGGATCAGGTTTGGTTTCTACTCAACAGAGAAAACAAACGTTAGAAAACGAGTCAGTTTGTCCACAAATCATTTAGAAAAAGTCAAAACTCGTACTTTAGAGGTGGTGATTTTTTCCACGTCTAAAGCGTAGTCCAGCAGCTGAGAGGAGGGAAAGTTCTGCTTCACAAAGTCCTTCAGGATCTGAACCCTCATGTCGGGATTGTTAATCTGAAGAAGCACAGTGTCGGCCGTGACTCAGCCTTTCTCATCCAGAACTTTGACATGACCTTAAAATTGTCTCTGCATCTGTCCACTCTCCATCCTTACCGACTTAACTCTGTGTCCAATTCCCATAATCAGCTTCCCTTCCTTCTTCATCTTGTTGACAAACTCCATGGGCAGCATGCCGCTGTCAAACGCGTGGCTGAACTGCTTTGCTGCAGCATCCAAAGCCCCTCCGAAGCGGTCACCCTAAAAAAATACATGCAGGTGTGTCTGAGGTGGACTTTCATCAGGTGTGTAAATACAGTAAATGAATCATTAGAAGTGTCTCACAATGGTGAGAAGCCCAGAGGTGAGGCTGGAGATCAGATCTTTTCCAGCTCTGGCACAAACAATAGTGTTGTGAGCCCCAGAAACAGCAGGACCGTGATCTGCCGTCACCATTAAACACATCTCAATGAACTGGCAGGCGTACTTCGGCAACCTGCCCAAAAACACACAGAATGGTTACGTAGGTCAGGAATATGTCATGATCAGCTACTGCCAGCTACGCGTGGAAGGGTCAGACCTCCTCTGGAACCAAAGCAGCCCCAGAGTTCCTCCCAGGCCTATGTCTGCCTTGAAGACCTCAGTGATGGGCATCCCAGCATAGAGCAGCTCCTGGCCTCTCTCGTCACAGATGCTGGTCATGAAGGAGGCTGGTTTACGGATCAGACCAAGCTCCTGCTCAGAAGAGTGACGAGGAGACAAGGGGTTTAGATTCAAATTCAAAGATACTTTATTAATCCCAGGGGGAAATTAGAGTTTCAGTACACACAATTCAGAGAGCAGACATACATGGGCAAGACACATGACAAGAATTGGTGACTGTGGTCATTCGCAACCCTGAGTCGCGCTACCTTAATAGAGTTAAGAGGGTTACATGAGGATTGGCTCAGGTGGAGGGAAAAAAAGGCACTTCAGAGTTACCCTCCACAGGGAGGGCAGCTTTGCTCTGCAAAAACCACCTCAGACAGAAATGCAACAGACTTCAGACATCACACAACATAAGTGTCCACTAGGTGGGGAGGTCTGGTTGGGGACTCTCCACATGTCAGTGCATGCAGCCGCGATAAGCAACGCTCGTCACCTCAGTCTGGACAGGGAGGGAGGTTGTTGGGTTTGGCCTGTAAATGGTAAATGGTCTGTATTTGATATAGCGCCTTCTAGAGTCCTGGAACCCCCCAAGGTGCTTTACAACACAATCAGTCATTCACCCATTCACACACACATTCACACGCTGGTGGGGTTGAGCTACGATGTAGCACTGACAGAGGTGAGGCTGCCGAGCACTGGCGCCACCGGTCCCTCCGATCATCACCAGCAGGCAACGTGGGTTAAGTGTCTTGCCCAAGGACACAACGACGACAGGCTGAGCGGGGCTCAAACCTGCAACCTTCCGATTACGGGGTGAGCACTTAACTCCTGTGCCACCGCCGCCCCGTCGTTTAGAGAGCATAGTGACTCCTGGGACGATTCAGCGGCCTTCACCGGTCGCAGTTCCGCCCAGGCTGGGATAGGGAGACAAAGTTTGGGGTGGGGGTGGGGGGTGGGGAAGATTCGTTTCAGGCTCGAGGGCACCAGATTCAGATAAATTGTTTTGGGGCCAGACAGAGATAATTTCTTCTCTGTCTTAAAGTTCCGTTGGTCCTCAACCTCTCAAAATCCAATAATGGCGTAAATTAATCTATCCCAATCCGTGCTGATACGTCAACTCGCTACTTGATGGCATCCATCTTTTGTGCCAATAATGAATCTTGGCCAAAGTTCCAAGCTTACGACTCATCTCGACAATTATTTGAGTCTGTGAATTCACAGCGCGGTGCAAACCATCTCTGAGCTCCGGGATTGAGCCAATATTCCTCGACAGCTCGTTAATTTTCCGGTAAGCCAGATAACCACTCAGGCCAAAAAGCAGGAAACCTGACACCAACACCACGGATATCCACACGTCTTCAGAATCCTCTACAGACAGCTGGGAGAGGCGGATCAGGTTCCACTGTTTCCAGGAGTCCATGATATACCCAACTGGATCTGTCCCAGAGGGGCATCCGGGAGCCCCTTCTCTCGTTCTCATCGTTGAGAAAATTTTGTCAATCACGTTGAGAGCCCAGCTGACCAGGTCCATTTTTAATAGTTTCCAGTTTCCAGAAAAAATGCAGAAGCGCCGTACACCCAGAGACAGACAAAGAGCCTTGGGATAAGATAGGGAGGAGAGGAGGAAAAAAAGCGTCTGGACTCTCCAAGAGCCGGTAGCAAACAGATGATTTGTTTTGGTTTAGTTTTTATGTTCCCACCTGACTGAGGTGACAGGTACATCTTACAAAAGTGGAGGACACATACAACACAGAATAGAGCCAAAGAGCAGCAGGGACAATAAAACCAGATGTTTTTTCATTAAATGTAACAATATTCTCTTTGTATCATAACATATGATACATAATACATTCATTTTATTTTTTAGTTTAATTCACCTGTTGCTGTCTTCACAAAAAACATGGAGAGATAAACTTTTTTTAATGGGAAGCAGCAGAAAAAAACTATAATCTTTTTTATTCCGAGTATGTCTTTACTTATTAACTGTGTAATTATTTGTTGGGGTTTTACACTTATGTTTTGAATAAATGAGATGAAGTTATGGTTTGAGTGAACATTAATATGATTTATTAACACCGGTCTTCCCTTGGGGGGCGACATTTTCTAAGGGACGCAACTTCAGGCAATATCCCTAACATCAGCGTTATATTCAGTACCTGTGCAATACCTGGATGTATATCTGTATGTCTGTGTCCGTTACGCTGTTTCTTCTTGGAAACTCACCTTTCAAGTTTTATTCTTTTTTCTACTTGCTGAAAGTTTTAATAGTCTACTGCCTTTGTGTACTCACCTGTATTATTTCTCCTATTCTCTAAGTGTATATCAAATCAAATCAAACCAACCTTTATTTATAAAGCACCTTACAGACATGAAACATGCCACCAAAGTGCTGTACAATCAAAATAAAACCAGCAGGGACAACTAAAAACCAACATTATAAACATAACACAATAAGAGCATGTAACAATGTCAGCAACAGCTAACCCAGAGTTAAAAGCCTAACGGTTAAGGGAAGGGCATTCCATAATCTCGGACCCGCTACCGAGAACGTCCTATCCCCTCTTGTCCTCAGCCAAGCTCTGGGAACCGAGTAAGTTATTGCAGTAACAGTAGTTGGTGCAGAACGAAGTACCCGACCAGGAGCGCGTGGCTGCAACACCTCTGACAAATAGGCAGGGGTCGACTCATTCATTGCCTTGAACACCATTAAGAGAAGTTTAAAATGAACTCTGACATTGACAGGTAGCCGTGCTGAGTTGCCAGAATTGGAGTGGTGTGTTTATTCTTTCTCTTGCCTTCCAAAAATCTCGCTGCAGCGTTCTGAACAAGCTGTAGGCGAGCTACAGTACCCTGACTTACACCAAATAATGGGCCATTCCCATCTGTACCGGGTCGGCCCGGGCCGGGTAGCCCCAGTCGGCCCCAGCCTGGCCCGGTTGATTCCACACAGCCATGTCTTAAGCCCATGTGGGCTGATTCTACCCACCAATCAGAGGCTTGCTCTAATGGTAGGTGTGAATTTGCTGTCAGCAGTGGGTGTGTTGGCCCTGGTCGGCCTGAAGCAGACCCCCTCGAGAAGAGGGCTGAGAATGAGCCTTGGTTGGCCCGGAAAAATACCAGACCACCCAGATATGTAAGCAACCTACGCTACCCGGCCCGGGCCGACCCGGTACAGATGGGAATGGCCCATAAGACAGAGTTACAGCAGTCAAGGTGTGAGGTGATGAAGGCATGAACAACAGTCTCAAGATCTATATATGCTGCCTTAACGAGTGACTTTCCCCACTGTGGGATCAATAAAGCCTATTCTATTCTATTCTATTCTATTCTATTCTATGAATTTCTTCTTCCATCTCAAAAACATCCCAGGTCTCCACCGTCCACCCCTTCTTTCAATTGTGCAGATCCTGTTGTATTGATGAGCCTGGATAAGGAGCTGGAGGCGCGTGGCTGGTTACCCAGGACAACCGGGGTATTAGATAACGCTGAGGTGACGACGTCATCCATTCTCTGCTCTTCCCAACCACCCACGACGTTGTGTCATGTCTGCATTACGTTATGTCACGTAAACAATCTAGTTTGTGTTGCCCCGAGAGGTTAGACACGGCCTTCTGGTTCTTTGTTTTTCACGAGGAAAGTGATAGAATTATTTTGTTTGTCGTTTTGACCTCAAGTCCACCCTGAAGCCCCAGATTTTCCATGTACAAAAACTGACGACCCCGGTAATGGTGTTCCTTTGGCGATCTGGAGCAGCCACAGACGGGAAATACTCACTCGAGCCCAGGAGTAATCCATAGGAACCGTGGGAGGAGGAGCCTCTTCAGCAGGCTGAATGACTCCTTTGGCAACAAGGTCATCAAACACAGATCTGCATGGAGCAGGATAAAGCAAAAATCTTTGAATCAGCACATCCTGGCATGGTAAACCAGTGGAAGGAAGATGACTGAGCACTGACTTGATGATCTCTCCCAGCTCATCAAAGCTTCTGGGGACAAAGGCGCCAGCCTCTTTCAGAGCCTTGTTCTTGGCTACTGCCGTCTCAGAAGCCTGGTTGGCACAAGCTCCTGCATGTCCAAACTGGACCTGATGAGGTAGTGTCAAAGTAATTCATTAGAAAGAGCCATTAGGTTTCTTTCCAGCTCTCTAAAGTGAGTCAGATGCTTTAAACTGAATGAGCCGGTTTTACCTCCGAGGTGAACATGGTGGCACAGGTGCCGATACACCAACACACCACAGGTTTTGTGACCCTACCCTGTTTAATCGCCTGGCAAATCTTGTATTCCTCTGTGCCCCCAATCTGTTAGAAACGTCACAAGATGGAGCAGTCGAAGAAGGCAGCAAGCAGCAACGCTCAGAGCGTCCACTCACCTCTCCAAGGACAACGATCATCTTCACCCCAGGAGTGTCTTGGTAGCGTAGAACGTGGTCGGTGAACACAGAGCCGGGATACCTGCAGCGGAGTTCAGCGTTACGCAGCAGCTCAGACCAACAAAACACTCCATGGGTAATACACACCTGTCTCCACCAATGGCCACGCCTTCAAACACACCATCTGTGGTGCGAGAGATGATGTTGTTGAGTTCGTTGGACATGCCGCCTGAACGGGACACGTAGGCCACACTGCCTGGGCGGTAGAGCTTGGAGGCCAGGATGTTGTCCAGCATCCCTCCGGTGTTGCCGATCTTAAAACAGCCGGGCTTTATTCCTCCGACCTAAACAAAACACAGCACGGTTTGAGCTGATGGGAGACAGCAGCGAGGAATCCTGCGTGATCCGACGAGAGCAGAATTGAGACTAACGGTAGCTGGACCAATGATGGTGACGCCCTTCTCATCTGCTGCTTTAATGATCTTCCTGGTGTGTGCTTCGGGGATTCCCTCAGCGATGATGGCGATGGTGTGAATCTGAAAGCAGCTGATTGGTTTAATTACACTGAATCGTTTTGACTCGCTCAGAAGCTGCAGCGGCGTGCTTACCTGTGGGTACTGCATGGTCTCCATGGTGCTGTCGAAGGCTGAGCGCAAAGAGGCAAAGTTGATAAGGACGTCCACGTCGGGATGCTTCTTCATGGCGTCACTCATGTTTTTAAACACAGGGATGAGGATCTCTTTATGTCCCCAATAGAACTTCTGCTTGTGGTCTCCACTAGAGGGCGGTCAAGCAGAAAACCCTTCAGGACATGCACTGAGAGGTTACATCAGGAGAGCAGAGCGTTTGGAAGGCGCGTACGTAAACGGGTAGATCATTGCTGAAACCGACGGCTCCTCTCTGGAGCAGACATAGTCAAAGTCCAACATCCCCTGGACTGCCCGAGTCTGCATCCCCCAAACCAGGGACTTGGTGTGTTTCTTAAAGAGAGTTGTTGCCTTCGCTGAAGAGAAATAAAATCACTCAGACAAAAACAGATTTTATTTTTTGTTCCAGCTTCATCTCAGCTCAACTGTGTGACGACACGATAAAGGTGAAGAACTGATAACCAACGATTCTTCTCACCAACAGGAGCTCCAGATTTAACTTGCTTCATGGGTGAGCCCTCGGCTCCAGCTTGGCCTCCAGAAGAAGGAGATTTTCTCCTTGATGTTGGTGTCTGGAAACAGAACGCTTTTATCATTTAAACTCAGCAGACTTGAAAATCTGAGCTGCTTTAATAACACCTCCATCTCCTCATGCTTAGACTACTGTAACTCTCTTTTCACGTGTCTGAGCAGAACCTCCCTGAACCGTCTACAGGTGGTTCAGAACGCCAGTGCTCGGCTTCTGACCAAGTCCTCCAAACACACCCACATCACCCCGCTTCTCCTCCAGCTTCACTGGCTGCCAGTCAACTTCAGGGTTCATTTCAAGATCCTGGTTCTGGTCTATAGGACCTTACATGGACAAGCACCATCTTACATTGGTGATCTTCTTAGTCCCTACACCCCCAGCAGGTCCCTGAGGTCCAGTGATCAAAGCCTACTGGTTGTGCAGCGCCAGGCTAAAGACCAAAGGTGACAGATCATTTGCTGCTGTGGCCCCCAGACTCTGGAACTCTCTCCCCCTGAGCCTGAGATCAGTGGACTCAGTGGTCTCCTTTAAAAAGCAGCTAAAGACTCACTTGTTCAGGCTGGCTTTTGTATGACCTTCTTCACCACTCTCTCTTTATTCTGCTCTCCCCACCTATTCCACCTTCCTCAGGATCCACTGATTTTCCTCTTTCCTGTTCACTCTCTCTTTCTTAACATTTTTTCTTTTAAATCACGATTGCTTATTTTTGCTCATTTTAAATATATTTTTAAACATTTTCTAAATGCTTTTTTATATTTTTACATTTTTTTATTTTTTGTTTTTGTGAAGCGCCTCGTGATTTTTATCTTGAGAGGCGCTATAGAAATGATATTTTCTTCTTCTTCTATAAAATTGGACCAAGAGCAGCTCTGTGCACTCTACAGACATCATAATGGAGCTGGGCATCCTCAGGCCTACGGGTTAATTCTTGAAACGGACCCACCGTAAGTCTCATGAGACCACTAGAATCCATAAAGGTCCATTCTAACTCCAAACCAACAGTTAAAAACAATACTCCGTTATTTTATTACCATCCAACCGACCGCACTCCTATCTAGCTGACATTCTTCCCAGTGCACATTTTTAATGGATGCCTGAGGGGGGAGACGCGTCACACAGCTGACTGAACTGCACCGTGTCTGAGTAGGAGCAGCGTGATGTCCAAACACAAAAGAACTGCTGGGCTTCTAATAATCTGGTTTACTAAAACAAAGAGACAGCAGGAGCTAAACCGAGTCCTGCACTCACTCTGCACGAAACTAAACTACAATAAACCGACGGCAGGGCTGACTCGGCATCCTAATAACCCACAGGTTGAGTGTGTGTCGTACCGAGGAGCTGCTGCTGGAGTTGAGGAGGAAGTTGGCCGTATGAGCTGCAACAGGAGGCTGGTGGGGGATCGGCCTGTGACCCAGAGCCATGCCAACGATGGCAGTCATGTGGGTTTCTGTGCCGAAGACGTGAATGGGGATCCCGGTGGTTTTTCCTGTAGAACAGTCCACTTGGTGTGAGGCGATCAGGATGAACTTTAACATCTGAATTTAAAAGACAGACTTACCAACTTCCCCCATTACCCTGAGACCTTCCTGGTAGTTTGGGCCGCCGCGGCGCACAAAAATGGAGACCTGGTGCTCCTTCAGAGGCCCCTGATAGTCTCTGATGGCTCGAACGATCCCCTGCAGCACAGAGAGAAACGCTCAGGGAACACCTTACATCCCACTGCCAGTGATGGAGCAGATACCCTACCTTAAATGTTGCAGCAACATTTGTGAAGTTTGCTATGCTTCCTCCAATGATCAAAACCTTTCCTGCAGAATTTAAACATTGCAGGGGGTCAAAACAAAGATAAATGTTGTAGAGTAAAAATATAAAGACATTTTAAAGACCCGCCCACCGTCTGGATGCTTCTCTCTAGTCATCAGAGACAGGATGGTTTTGGCGTAGTCGTAGGTCTGCTGCTCGCTCGGCGCTCCTGAATACTCCCCATAATTCGCCAGCTCGTTGACCCCGCCCAGATCACAGATCGTGTCACTGTAAGATTTTATCCACCAAAAAATCTTTTAACTCGTCACTTTATTTTTTATGTGAAGCAAAAAATGCATCTGCTGAGCTGTTCCTGCTCCTTCTGGGGAAACACGGCACCGTAAACAGATAAAACAGCTTCACAGTGCACACGGGGAATAATTAGTCACGCCCGATCCGTCTGCATGTCACGCTTTACATCCTCGACAGACGGCACTCTTCCCGACTCTCACTGAAGCAGCAACATTCAGGGGCTGATTGGACACTCTGTGCTGCTGCAGCGTCACCCTCCTGATGCTGGGTCTAAATGTGAGCAGAAGAATCATTTACTGAAGAGAAAGTCTAGGTACGAGGAAGCCAACCAGCCTGAAGCTGAATTATGAATTCTGCTCCAAAGGGTCCAAATAAAGTCGACTGGACTTCTTCAGTTTCCTGAAGACGTCTGCTTCCCATTCAAGGAGCTTTGTCGATTCTGACTGGAATATGGAAGAGTCAAGGTTATAAACTGTAGCTGTCTCTTTCTTAATGAGATGGAACTGCTTATGAATACCCCTCCCCCTACCCTCGAGGAGTCTTTGATGTTGTTAAGGCCTATTGTGTCGGGAAGTAGTGAGGAAGGGTGACTAGATGACTAAACCTTCACCAGCATGAATTCTGCTGTTTTATTTGGTTTGGGTGGGGTACCTGTACACGACTGAAGCACCTCCTCCTGCCACCATGGTCCAGATTCTGCCTCTAGGATTCAGCAGAGTCAGTTTGAGGCTGGCACCGCTCTTTGCATCGAGGTCAGCAATGTAGGCCTCCTGTAAAATCGAAAGAATTGAGGTAGGGATGCACCGATGGATCAGCATTTGATCCCAATCGGCCGATAGCGCCCCTGTCGGTTTTGATGGGAGTTTTCAAAATAGATCAAAGCAGACCGATCAGGTAGGGTTGTCATGGTAACCGGTGTAACGGTAAAACCCGGTAAAAAAAAGTTGACAATAATAACCGTCTTGTTTTTAAAAAAAACTATATTATCTCGGTGGGTTACCGTGGCTGCGGTGTAGGCGCGGTGACCCTTACCAGCCACCGTATCATCTGCTGAAGTTGCCGGCGGCACACGCGCACTTTGTTGTTTACAACCAAAACTTTCTTGAAGCTAAAGCTGAAATAACGGCCAAAGGAGGAGACGGCAGTGCTCAGGAGGACATTTTTTATCCCTCAAAGAAGACAAAGTGGGAAGTACGGGCATCTTTTGGATATTTGAAGAATGCCGAGGGACAGCTGATAGAAGACGGCTATCCTGTTTGCAGCACGTGCAGAAAAAGTGTCTGTGAAAGGCAGCAACGCTTCAAATCTCACGACACATCTGCGTGACCATCACCCACAACTCTACAGTCAACGCAAGGCAAGCTAACGTTAGCGTTTTAGCTAAAATGCGTGATCCGAGGATTTGGGTTGAGGGAGAATGCAACGAGTCGCTATATAAAGCAGCCGCAGCGCCGCTACCTGCATATAAACCGTGTCACGGACACCCCCATGTTGAAATGACGCTATGCATTACGGGGCTCCCAGGGATAGATAAGAGTTGGTCTCTCTCCGAGAATAATTATGAATTTAACAATGATTACTGCCTGATGACATTTTCCCACATCTGCAAAGCTCACTGGAAGGACACAAACCGAGGACAATATTTTCCTGATATAGGGTTTATTACTCAAGTAAGGGTAAAAAAGTATCTGATTAGAAGGCTACTTGAGTACTGAGTATCATCTGGTCTAATATTTTTAAAATGATGACATCAAACAGACAAAAAATAAGAAGTTATGGGCAAATATTGGTATTTTAAAGACTAAAGGGGAAAATGTAAACAAATAAACAACATAATTACAAAATAACACATTTTAGGCAAAATTTAGACACAAACTGAGGACAATATTTCCTGACATACAGGGTTTATTTAATTGTGTGAAAATGTAGCACGTTTAAAAAAAATACCGTGATAATACCGAAAACCGTGGTAATTTTGGTCACAATAACCGTGAGGTTAAATTTTCACACCGTGGCAACCCTAATACAGACCATTTTAGATTAGCTTACATTTCCTTTATTCCCAGATTATGTAGTTTGTAGCACTCATTATAATGTTGTAGAAAATTTCTGGCCAATCCACGTGATCGGTATCGGTGATCAGCATTCTTTGATATCGGTATCGGTGATCGGCAACAAAAAACCTGATCGGTGCATCCCTAAATTGAGGCACTGTTATTCCCTGAATGACTGCACACCACCCAGATCCGACGAAGTTACAGTTATTCTGTTCAAATCTTGAAAACATGTGCAACCACAGACGGTCTCAGAAGATCTCAAATGCCCTGTAAGTGAACTACGGTTGTGAGGAACTCTTACACGGGAAATTTTAGCTCGATGTTTAGAAGTGGCTGAGATGTAGCACTCAGAGTTTGTAAAGTCAGGGAAAAATCATTTTAATCAGATCTGGACCAAAGTAAGCACCAATGGAAATGACAGCTGATGTGATTCATATCAGTGGACGTTTGAGGCAGTCTGAACAACAGCTGGCAGTCTCCAGTCAAAGACACCCACCGTCCCTCACGTCTCCACTCGCAGCCATCCAATTAGTCTAGACCTTCTGCTGCACTGACAGCCCGTCTCGGTCAGATCTAGCACGTGTCATCCAAACGCGTCATGTAAACACGGACTCTTCAACAAGTACCCTCACTATTTTTAGCCACGCTTTTAACCCTTTGATGCATGAATTATGAAATCTTCAACCATGATTTTTTTAACAATTTTTTTCATTCGTCTTTAAGTGTGAATGAAACAAATTTCAACAAATATTTTTTGTAAAATTTTATAATTTACAAATAATTTATTACATATCCACTTCAGTGGGCAGTGTGCATTCTGAGCATGAAATATGTTGGCTTGACTTACTGAAGTCCAAACGGAGGGGCTCAAATGCAATAAAGTCTTCAACAGCTGTGCTTAATAGCAAAAACAGATAAATAACAATTTTGAGTACCTGTCCACTGTAGTGACCATTATGCATCAAAGGGCTAATTTGTCTCAGTCATGACGGGTTAGCCGGTTACACTGTAGTGCAAGCTTGTGAAAAGTGGTCAAGGTTGCAGACTGTTGTTTTGTGAGACACTGATTAGGTGTTTTGACTTTGTCAGAAGGTCGCAGATGTTTGATGATCTTGTAGATCCGTCTGCAGGTGGTTCCACCGTTTCAGACTAAATTAAACCAGATTATTAAGGTTGCTGAAAGATGCTTGTGAAAGGGTAAACGTCCTGTGTTTACACAACTCCTTCTAGAGTCCCCCCAAAATGCTTTGCAACACACCAGTCATTCACCCATGCACACACACACACACACACACACACACACACACACACACACACACACACACACACACACACACACACACACACGGTGATGAGCTATGTGGCCACAGCTGCCCCGGGGCACACTGACAGAGGTGCGGCTGCCGAGTACTGGCGCCACCGCTCCCTCCAACTGCCACCGTCCTTCTCAGTGTTGAATATTGGGGTTCCTCAGGGCTACTACTTTAGCCACTATTGCTTTATAGTTAGTGCGACACTAACCTAAAGAAAATTTGCTTATGTTTCTTCCTTTGGCAGATGCTTTCATCCAAAGATTATGAGTTATTTAGCACGTTTTGGTCAGAGGAAACTGGAGAAAGACTCTAGCTAAGAGCTCAGCCTGTGATCTTATTGCTGTATAGCAACAGTGCTAACTGTGCCACCAGGCAGCCCAATGTGGGACGTACAAATCATGTTGGAAACTGTTTGGACTGTCATATAAAAGTTCGTCCTGCGTGGTCTTTCAAAGATCTGCCCTCAAACTGCATAATAAAGTTTAGTGACAGTTTAAGATGAATCTTAAAATTCTGGAACAAACTATGAGCTTTAGATTATTAGCATCAATGCTAATTATTTAGCATTCATGTGCTACAGGTAACAGCTCAGCCAACATTAGTGTTGCATAAAAACACATGCCATTAGTCAGATTGCAGAATTCCTAAATATTAAAAAAAAAAAAAAAAAAAAACTACCGGACAAAAGAATGTAGCTGTTGCATCATGGGAATCGATGCAGAATGACACCAGCAGAGATGATATCAGGCACTTTCCTGATCTTTTGAAGGAGTCATGAAGAACTGACGTCAGTTTAATGAGATTCAAAAGCCGCAATGTTGGTCCTGGGCTACAAACCGTTGGTGGTCCAGAACTGAAACCAGTGTGTCAATTACAGATTGTGATTTCACTATGTTTGCATGTGACAGTAAAATCATAGGGATAAGTCATGTGGTCTGTTATACCTCTGGCCAAACTCCCTCTGTACATAGTTTTGCTCACAAGAACACAAGATCTGACTCTCTAATTCCTCCTCACCTCAGGATAGGCTTCTCTGCCAAAGGGGGGAGGAAACTCCACGTCACCCCACTTGGATTTACAGATGTAATCAGCAGTGGCGTCGATCTTTGCAGCCATGTCCAGCACATACACTCCATCTTTAGTGACCACTGAGGAGGCAGGAAAATCACGTTTAGGGTCAAAACTCCCAACACCCACCTGCAAAGATGTCATCTCTAAAAGGAGGCCGAGGTATGGAGGTTCGTGCTCAGACGTCGCTGACGCACGTTTCTGCTGCCCCAGCAGGAGCTGCGGGAGGGGGGAAGGTGGGAAGGAAGTGGCTGGATATCAAAGCTGCAGCCACATGAACAGCTGCCAGAGGGCACCCAATTACTAAATCACACACACACAAACACACACACACACACACACACACACACACACACAATCATCAAACAGAAAGAGCATGAAATATTTAATAATTTCCTCCCTCTGTGTTAAAAATGTAGCAGAATCTTCTGCTTTATGATGAAATCTGCTTTCCTCTGATGTCTTCGTTCCTGTTTCATAACCTGACCACATATGGACGAGCCGATGTGAGTAAAGCGAAGATGATCTTATAAAACGCATTTTGAGATTGAGTTCTTGTTGTTGTAGATTATCTAACCTACCCAGAGGGTTGATCTCCAGGTATGTGAAGAAAAGGTCCTCGTACAGGTTGAAGAGTCCAACGATGAAGCCGGCGAGAACTCTGCAAAACAGTTCAAAGGGAAACTGTGACTTCTGAATGTCATGTCAGTAAACAATTACAGGATGAAGAAAACTTTGACTTAACTCTTTTTCTTTCAAAGTTTGATTGACTGTATTTGAGGTTACTGTAAAACACGACTGACAGAATCGAGGGCGTTTGTTCTGAAGAGCAGCTGCTGCAATCTGGAAAAAGTGTCACTCATCAGAACATGAGGTTTACTTCGTGTGAGAGTGCAGGGACTGTGGGCAGCTCTAGTTTGTACAAACACATCCCCTCATAGACAAAAAGTGTGATTTTGGTGAAGCAGGTGAGAAAATCCAACTTTTCAGTTTCTTTTTGACTCTCTGCTTACAGTCAGGGAGTGAGAGACACGGGTGTGTGGTTACCATGGGGATCATAATGAGCCACTCATTACCACGGTGACTAACGAGAATTAGATCCTGATTTTCTTTACAAATAAATAACGCATAATGTTTCATCTTAGATTATAACATATTTACCGTATATTCCGGACTATAAGCCGCAACTTTTTCCCGCGCTTTGAACCACGCGGCTTTAGTCAACCAGAAAGGATGGATGCTGGAAAGTCTAATGAAGGAATGGTTAAAGGAGCGCTACGGAAAGCGCCCAGGAGGATTTTTTTCACAGTAAAATGGCTCTGCTTGTTTTCCCAGCTTCACCCGGGGATAACGACAGCGACACAGAAAAGGTACGTGACGAAGCTCTTCTGAGGCTGTTCAACTCCGACACTGAAGATGATGACTTCAGTGGTTTCAGAGCGCAGGAGGACGATGAATAAACTAATCAATAACTTTTCTGTTTTGTTTGATACTGATCAGTTCAGTTACGTTCGGTTAAACTACGTTTTCACTTCAGTAGATATCTGCGGCTTTTAGCCCGGTGCGGCTTATATTGAGGTGCGCTCTGTAGTCCAGGAATTACGGTAGTAAGATTTATTTCTATAGAGCTTTCCAAGACAAACATCAGATGCTCTAAAATCACAGGTGAGACAGAAATACACGCGTTACAGTCTGAAGGATGCCTGTTTGTTTACAACAAATTTATTTGCAAAAACACTCCAGCACAAGTTTAATTTCTGTAATGAGGTTCTGATTGGTGACTTGACTAGATGATCCACATCTAATGTTCTAGTACACGTGACATGGTTCTGTCCACAGGGGGTCTGCAGCGGAGTGTGTCCTGAGACAGAATTTCACTAAAGATCTGAGCTGAACAAGAAACCAGCCCCCTGTAAACTAGCTGCAAACACGTTGCTCCAATAAAACAACAAAACAATGCATCTTTGTTGTGCATCTTTTTGCGTAACATGTCAAAATAAACAGGCGGGGGTGGGGGGAGTGTAGGGCCTTCCTGTCAGTTCAGTCGGCAGCTCAGAGACTTTGTGAGAGCAGAAGCAGCCAGCAGAGACAAACATAACCCCAGAGAGACTCTACCTCCCTGCTGTCGGCTTCTGATGAGGGGGTGGTGGAGGAGGTGTGTGTGTGTGTGTGGGGGGGGGGGATATCAGGGGTTGCCTCTTCAATGTCAGCTGACACAGCGAGTCTGTCCAGAGACTACACCCACAGAGAGAGATGGATAGGAGAGGTCGATGGAGGGAGAGGAACTATATCCTCTTGTATCAAAACACACAGATGTGGTATGAATGGAAAATGTCTGTGGGTGGGGGCTGACTGGAGACTAGCAGCGCTAAAGAGGAAAATGTCATTTGTTTAATGGAACCATGTGGTCATTTATGTCTCCCAGTACACGAGAGGGCTCCCAATCCATCAGTATTAGGACTACGCAGTACCCACCTTTAGATTTCCATTTCACTTTTGGCTTCAAACAATCCCAAAAATGACGTAGTTCACAAACAGTTATTATGAAATGCTTTATGCCACATTTGTTTTGTAACCATTTTCTTATTTAGACTTGATTTCCAAATGATGTGCACTTAAAGGTCGTCTTGTGGTGGTGTTTTATAAGATTAGAGTAAATAAAGCTGGCAGAATGAAGGCAAAACAACATGCATTAAAAATACCATGACCCTTACATGCTTCGTGATGCACAGTCGTGCGATTTTTTTATTATATAGTTTTATTTCATAACAGAAACATCAAAATTTACATGTGAAGTCACTTCCTGTTTGGAACCCTGAGCTACTGTAGTAGCCCCTCTCTTCATTTACAGAAGCACTGTCTGTCCATGTTTCCTTTGTGTGACTGACTGACCAAGTAGGTATAATTAGCTGGTGTCTTTAAATATAATGTCTTGACATTACAGAAACATTTTTTTATTATTCAAAAAAGGCCTGATGCTAGGTTTTTTTGTGGACAACTAGGGGGTTCTAGTCCAATAAAAGCAATTTTGATCTTTTAATTGATAATCTGCACCAAACAACATAATTCTGCTACCTGGTCACATAAGCTGCATTCTGCAGCCTTTAGTATGAGACCAGGCGTGCCTTACACAGTTAAACTTTCTGGGGTTGTACAGGGAAACTTTTGATGCTTTTATTTTGAAGAGTCACACAGCAGTGTGTTTTTGGATGAATATGAGAATTAAATGTGATTTTTATGCCCCAATACTTAAGGTTTGTGTTAATCAGCTGTGATCAGGGATCGTTTAGTGCTATTTTGTCTTTATTTTGTTTTAAAAAATGTTTTTGCGCTATTTTGTATAATTGTATTATTTTCAAATATTATTACTGAAAATCATCAGGCCTACTTGTTTATGAAAACAGACTTTTTTCATAATCAAGCAGCCAAATGATTTTCTATTCAGAACACAGTTTTCACCATTTATTTTAAAGCTCATACATCTAAAATGTTTACATTTCTTCCTTCTCCGCATCATAGGAGGTCTGCATGGCGGTTCCTTGAGTTAATCTCACCCTTTCTTGTCAGCGGGAGCCTTGGCCAGCAGTTCCTTTTTCACCTGCTCTTCACTGATCTTTTCATCCACTCTAATCAGTAGTTTCTGCGCCTTGGCATCCACATCTCCGACATCCACACCACCCTCGTGGTGAAACAGCACGTAGTCCCCCTCTCGAGCTGCGTACACGCACAGGTAGAACTCCTCCACCTGAGCAACAGACCAGTAAAGAACAAACGCTGCTGCAGCAGTTTCTGTCACCAAACCAGTGAAGCGTCTCAAATCTGAACTGGAATCAGAAATTTTAAGACGGCACGATGGGTGGTTCACCTGCTTATGAGGGACAAACGGCTCGATCAGGAAGTTCTTGAGAATTCCTTTGGCTTTTCCCACCTGAGGATCAGCAGAACAGGTCAGGAGGAGACAATACATTACACAAACTGACACTCAATGTAATGGGATTACAAAATTGTAAATGGACCTTGATTTGTTTTCAGGCACAATAAATGTGCTGCAGGGAGGAAATTATAATGACGAAAGTCCACCGCTAGACACAAACAAACTGACATTTTAGAGGGCAAAAAAAGGAAAGGTGTCACACGGAGCGGCAGCTCATTCAGTGGAAGCTGTCACTGGGGGGGGTGGGTGGCTGAGAATGAAACAAGAGAAAGGCGAGGGAGACAGGAGCATAAAGGTAAACGGTGATCTGACTGATGGCCTTAAGAGGCTCGTGTCTGTAGATAAATCAGGTAACTGCTTCATGGTAACAGAAGAACAAATATAATATGCATGCAGTTTTATTATAAGTCAGTTTTATTCTATCATTTGAACAAAAATGTAACACTTTTAAGGAATATTTTAGGATGTAAAAGGGTAGCAATTTATGAAAACCACTCAAACACTTTCTGTAACAGAAGAAATCCAACATAGCCCGAAGAGTTACTGTAAGTCCAGCAGAACTATGAATCACACTAATAAAGGTAATTTATCTGTGTAATGACTTCATCCCGCTCTGAGAGAACAATAAAAACGACTTCTTCCCCAGAAAACAGCCATGCTTGTTCTCATACGCTGCTGCTGACAGCTTCATCTGGTCAGTGAGGAGAAACCTCTTTTAAAATATCACACACACACACACACACACACACACACACACACACACACACACACACACACACACACACACACACACACACACGCATGCTCTCTCTCTCTCTCTCTCTTCCATCCATCCTGGTTTATGAGGCAAAGCAGCGTCTCAGAGTGACACTGATGGAGAGACTGCTGGTCCAGCGGCCACTCTAGCCCCAGCTGACTGGACTGATTTACCACCGGCTCACACACACAACGTCAACAGCAGCCTTTCAGACAGATATCCATCTTTTAGAAAATGCGTGCAAACCATAAAACCAAATTAATCAGAGAGGTATCAAAGGGATGGGGAGTGAAGGAAAAGGGAATGAAGAAGCAGCAGGAGGGGGAGGGGAGAAGAGAGAGGACAAACCATGGTGTCTCTCATGAGGCGCTGCTTCAGCCACTCTTTGACCCCGTTCAGGTCCAGGTTGACTCCAACCAGACCCAGCTTCCCTCTCCTCTTGATCAGCTGGTCCGGCTTCACCACCAGCCTCTGCAAAGAGGAGGGTCAACAGTCAGATCGGTTGGGTAGATTACATGCAGGCTTGTCTTGAGGACATAAAACATTGGATGACTCTAAACTTTGTGCTTTTAAATCAAGACAAGACGGAAGTTCTCATCTTTGGACCAGAAATCCAGAAAAGGAAATTGCTTAGCCAATCGCCTGACCTGAATGGCATTACATTAATCTCCAAGAACAAAGTAAGGAACCTTGGTGTTATCGTTGACCAGGACATGTCATTCAAATCCCAGGTTAAACAGGTTTGTAGGATTTCCTTTTTCCACCTCTGGAATATTGCTTAGATTAGAAGCATCCTTTCCAGGAGTGATGCTGAAAAACTAGTTCATGCATTTATTACATCAAGACTGGATTACTGTAATTCATTACTCTCAGGAAGTCCACAGAATGTAGTTAAAAGTCTTCAGCTTGTCCAAAATGCTGCAGCTAGAGTTCTGATGAGAATTAAAAAGAGAGATCATATCGCTCCTGTCTTAGCTTCCCTACATTGGCTACCTGTTAAATTCAGAATAGATTTTAAGATCCTCCTTCTCACATATAAAGCTCTTAATAATCAAGCTCCATCATACATCAGTGATCTGATTGTTCCATACGTTCCTAGCCGAGCACTTCGCTCTCAGACTGCAGGTTTACTGGTGGTTCCCAGAATATCTAAAATTAGGATGGGAGGCAGATCTTTTAGTTATCAGGCTCCTTTCTTGTGGAACCAGCCCCCAGCTTTAGTCTGTGAGGCAGACATCTTGTCTACTTTTAAGACTAGGCTTAAAACATTTTTATTTGATAGGGCCTATGGTTAAAATCTGATGTTAGCCTAAATCTGGACAAGTGGGGGAGTACAGGGAGGTGGAGTGTACAGTCGGTAAAGACGGCTCTCCCTTGCCCTGCCTCCAACATGCCTCCATCTAAATAGGATGGATTATCCAGAGTTACTGATTTAAAAAAAATCTGCTTTTAAAATTCATTTTGGCCAGTGGCCTATATAGAAAAATTGAGTATATCAGCCCGATATATCGGTCAGCCTATAGTCAAAAAGGGCATAGAGGCAATTTATCACATAATTACATTACATAAAGCTGTAGGTAAAAGGCTTATTTGGCATGCTTGGTGTTGTTTGGAACAAAATTTACACGAGAAATCAAATACAAATCACAAAAATGTGCTGAGAAGATCAACATTAACACAACATCTCAGGAATGTATTTCACCTGCATCCCTGGAGCAATCTGATTCTGTCCAGATTATTGGGGTCCATTTAAAATGGTTTTTACCTCAATCTTTTGTGTTTTTCTCCTTTTTTAAGTAAAATTCATAATAATCTTCCACTTGTTTTATGATACTTATGATCATTTTATAATTTCATGACTTTTAAGGGCCATCAGCCACCACTCATTTAAAAACACAGTTTCAGTACCAGGCACTAAATGAATTCAGAATCAGATATATTTGCCTCCTCATTCCGATAGATGAGTTGTGCTTTATTTAAGAACAAATTTCTAATCTTCTACTCGTGAAATAAGAGCTAAATGAAAGCCCTTCCTGCTGGGCGAAGCCTCCATCTCCTCTATAAGTCAGCTGAAGGGAATGACTCATGACAGAGCAGCCATTACTATCTGGGTGCTCGCCAGTGAGCAAAGAGGAGCGGGTCGAGGGTGAAAGTTAATGTGATTTTCTAATCAGTTCAGCAGCCAGCATCTCCGTGGATCTGCTCTCCAAATCCTCCTTTAACCTTCCTGATAAAGCCCTTCATCTGAGAGGCAGGGGAGCAGCACGCTGACGTCTTACAGCCAGACGAGTAATTAAATCAGCTTTTAATACAGCAGGCAAAAACAAGAACCCAAACCCAGCTCTGAGGAATGTATTTCCGGAGTCTTTCCTCCACTTTGTTCCCTCTAATAGAACTGATCCATCCCTCTGCTGTCTGTTATTACAGCTAACGCGCACCAAGAGGCCACTCGGCTCCAGCGTAGCTGGTACAAGAGTACCAGATACCAGGTAAAGATACCTCATAAACCCAACATGGAGCTGATTTACGCTCATATGCTGCTCTCACCTCCGTGAGCAGCCATGGGTGCTCCTGAGCCAGTCGGTCAAAGTCGGTCTCAGCCGTCACGTTGGCGTAGCGAAACTTGTTCTGGACCGGCGCCGAAGTGCAAATGTGCCTGTAGAGGAACTCCTTTCCTGTCTGTTCTGAGATGGCTTTGGCTGACATGATGGTTCAGGCTGGAGGAAGAGGAAATTCACAGAGAGATAAACAAAATGTAAAACTACCAAAACGCCATAAAGGTGGACTTGGAGAAATGAGAATATGGTTATTCTTTATTTCAGTGATTCGACTTAGACTGAAAGACCATCTCAAGGCTCAGGAAGCCTTTGCAGGTGTTCAGGATTGATGAGCTGATTAGAGGGTGACACTTTGAGTCTAGGATATTGAACCTTTTCACAATATTCTAGCTGTCTGGGATTTTGAATGTGGGGTTTTCATATGCATGAAGTCATAATCATCACAATCATAACAAATAAAGGCTTGAAATGTCTGGCTTTAATGAGTCTGTCTCACCTTTCTGTTGAATTACTGACATAAATGGACTTTTGCACCAGATTCATGTTGGACACGACTTCTGAGAACGTTTCTCTCAAACATAAGTAATCGATCACACAGAATTAATAGAAATGATTTATTTAAAAAAGGTCAAAAATTGAAGGAATGTACAGCCTTTCATACATCATCATTATAAATAAAGCTTTGATTGATTGATTCATACATCGACTTTTAACTATGATAATATTACATGAAATAATGTTTTGGGACTAGGGTTGTCACGGTGTGAACTTTTTACCTCACAGTTATTGTGACCCCAAATTATCACGTTTTTCGGTATAGTCGCGGTATTTTTTTTAAACGTGTTACATTTTCAGACAACTAAATAAACCCTGTATTGTCCTCAGTTTGTGTTTGCCTAAAATGTGTTATTTTGCAATTATGTTGTTTATTTGTTTACATTTTTGCCCTTTAGTCTTTAAAATACAATATTTGCCCATAACTTCTTATTTTGTCTGTTTGATGTCATCATTTAAAAAATATTAGATCAGATGATACTCAGTACTCAAGTAGCCTTCTAATCAGATACTTTTTTTACCCTTACTTGAGTAATAAACCCTATATCAGGAAAATATTGTCCTCGGTTTGTGTCCTTCCAGTGAGCTTTGCAGATGTGGGAAAATGTCATCAGGCAGTAATCATTGTTAAATTCATAATTATTCTCGGAGAGAGACCAACTCTTATCTGCCTCTGGGAGCCCCGTAATGCGTAGCATCATTTCAACATGGCGGTGTCCGCGACACGGTTTATATGCAGGTAGCGGCGCTGCGGCTGCTTTATATAGCGACTCGTTGCATTCTCCCTCAACCCAAATCCTCGGATCACGCATTTTACCTAAACACTAACGTTAGCTTGCCTTGCGTTGACTGTAGAGTTGTGGGTGATGGTCACGCAGATGTGTCATGAGATTTGAAGCGTTGCTGCCTTTCACAGACACTTTTTCTGTACGTGCTGCAAACAGGATAGCCGTCTTCTATCAGCTGTCCCTCGGCATTCTTCAAATATCCAAAACATGTCCATACTTCCCACTTTGTCTTCTTTGAGGGATAATAAATGTTCAGAGCGCTGCCGTCTCCTCCTTTGACCATTATTTCAGCTTTAGCTTCAAGAAAGTTTTGGTTGTAAACAACAAAGTGCACAGAACAGATGATACGGTGTCTGGTAAGGGTCACCGCGCCTACACCGCAGCCACGGTAAACCCACCGAGATATATATTTTAAAAAAACAAGACGGCTGTTATTATGGTCAACTTTTTTACCGGGGTTTACCGCTACACCGGTTACCGTGACAATCCTATTTGGGGGAATCTTGAAAATCATGTTTGCAATATAGCAATATCTCATGTGATCTGTTAGCATTTAGAACATGTGAAGTGAAGGACCCTCAGCTACAAAAATGCTACATTTTAGCCCAATATCTATGAAGCTGACTGAGTTAGAGACATGCTAAAGGTGTGGGACACTCATGTAATCAATACATTTGCAGTGGTCTTTATAGTAGGAATGAATGCCTTGCAAAGTCATACTCTGGGTAAAAAAAACCCTCAGATGTTGTTGTTTCAGGAACATCAGAGGAAAGCTTTACCCCCAAATTCCACTACCTCCGCTCCGGTCCGCCCCCGCCTTCCGCAGCCGCTCGCTTCCGAACTCAATTTTTACTGGTACCCGCTCTACAACGGCTCCGCTCCGGTGCGGAGACCTGAGGTGGACAAACAAGCATGCGCGGGATTTTCGAGATCTTGCGATACAGTCCGAGCAATAAACGCGGAAGTTAGATCCAAACACCCGTTGTGTGGGAGAAGCATCGAAATGAACTGTTTAATCTGCCCATCATTTGTGCTGAGAGATCAGCAGTGTTTGGATCAACAAAGGGTGACTACTTTGATAGTGGAAACTGTATTTATGGCTTACTTTTGTGCATTTAAACTTCAGCCGCCATTGATAGTTGTTAAAAGTTGTTAAACCTGTGCATATGAAACAAAAAACGCGTTTTGTTTATCGATTTATTGTGAAAAACGGAAAGTGTGCTTGCTCCTTTTCCTGTTGGACGGTTGTGATTTCTGTCCATTTACTGCGGAGGTGCTCCGGCGTCCGGCGAAAATAGGATCGATTCTATTTTTGTCGGACGCCGGAACAGAGGGCGGCGCATGGCGCCGCACTGCCGGAGCACGGCCGCAGTAGTGGAATTGCTCTGATTGACTACAACGGGACCGATTTTGCTCCGGCGTTCGTGTCGGAGCGGAGCGGAGGTAGTGGAATTTGGGGGTAACACAACAGGATTTGGAGTCTTAGTTCCCGATATTTGGACATCTCGCCCCTGATAGGCTAATAGAAATGTGACTCTACCGCTGACTTTGTCAAATAACGCTGTGTGGTGGAGGTGCTAATGCTAACTTTTAGCTTCTACAAGCTAAGACGTGCTCTGCTGTTTCCTGGATGCTAAACCAAAAACAGCCTTCCCCGTCGTGAGTCAAGATGGATGAGTCCATGAATGTTAAGTGACAGTGTGACGTAGACCTGTCAGGACTTTCCAATCCTAGAGTCGGAAGATAATGCAGGAGATAGGTGTAGGGGAAGAAAACTCTGAGTGACTGATTATAATCAGAAATAAACATTAAAAATGATTTTTCAGTGTTCCACACCTTTAACCCTCTGGAGGCAGGCGTTGCAGATTTGCAACGTTAAAACCTACCTACCTGGTTACTCCACACACGTATTTCATGAGCATTTTTAAACTCAGAAGTTCCCCTGAAGGACTTAGTTGTTCGTCCTTTTATCAAAACTTACTTTGAGCCTGAGAGGGTTAAAGTTGACTGGCTAAAACAGAACTAGGTTGACTCCAAAGGTTAGTCAGTTGTAGGTTTATGAGTGCAGATTACTTCCTGAAGGCTTTAAGAAAACATATCCAGTAGTTTAAGTCTTCTATTCAGCTGTAAAGTCACATTGCTTCTGAGTTTCATTCTGATGCTCTTTAAGCGAACTCCATTATCATCACTAATAATGTTTAGTTATTTGCTGCTTAAACACATCTAGAGACTCCAACACAAAACATTTACACAAAAACATGGAAAAAGCATTAAAACACATATTATAAACTCTGTTTCCTTCATTTGCAGTTTGCAACGGAAGTCACGTGTTTACAATCATAAATAAAATCTATAAATTTTACTGCAACAGAGGGTGGAGTTGAGACCTTTGGTCATATTTCTCTCACTGACCCAGTGTCCAACACACACCAGCTATTCGGGTCATGTTGTTTTATTCCTGGTCTTGTCATTTTAAATAATAATAAGAGATTAATATAAGGGTATAAGTTGCTGGGCTAGATATAAACTATTTACGTAACTGGATTTCTGAGGAAAAGGCCTTTTTCGTTTCATAAACGTTCAACATTTTACAATAAAAATAATATGTAATTGAGAAAATAAGAGGATGAAATTTACATCGTATCTCAAGTATTTCCGTCTGCAATGATCGCTGATGCACATCTATATACAACTACCTGAGTCACCGGAGGCAAGTATTTTCATTTTCTTGTACCTGGAATTAAATTGGCAGCCTTATTAAACCGAGCATACTCTACAGTCGTGACCAAACACCACCTTTAAATGCTTGACAGCTCCTTGCAGGGATGGAGCAGCTGTGGTGTTTCATTAGGCTGAAAGCCCTGATGAGGACCACAACAGTTTCCCCTGCAGCCCTGGCACTCATTTCCTAAATGGATTAGCGGGACTGCCAAGGAACTCGCTCACTATTGATCACTGCTGTTCTTTAGCCACCAGAACGCTGCTTCCAGTCCGGCCAGATGTGGTTTCATCTCAAAACTCACCCAGGCTTCATTCATCATCCGTGTTGTCTGAGTAACTGAGCAGTCAGAGGTGTCACACTAACAACGGTGCACAAGACAGAAATTTAGTTAACTGAAAGGTGCTTAGAAACATTTTAAAGGATGCTCATGCAGAAATACCAACATCAACTTTTTATAGTCTAATCAGAGATATATATATATATATATATATATATATATACATATATATATATATATATATATATATATATGTATATATCTTTGTCGTCGTCGTCTTCCTCCGCTTATCCGGGTCCGGGTTGCGAGGGCAGCATCCCACTAGAGAGCTCCAGACCGTCCTCTCCCCGGCTACCTCCACCAGCTCCTCCGGCAGGACCCCAAGGCGTTCCCGGACCAGATTGGAGATGTAACCTCTCCAACGTGTCCTGGGTCGACCCGGGGGCCTCCTGACGGCAGGACACGCCCGAAACACCTCCCCAGGGAGGTGTCCAGGAGGCATCCTGACCAGATGCCCAAACCACCTCAACTGACACCTTTTGATCCGGAGGAGCAGCGGTTCTACTCCGAGTCCCTCCCGAATGTCCGAGCTCCTCACCCTATCTCTAAGGCTGAGCCCGGCCACCCTACGGAGGGAACTCATTTTGGCCGCTTGTATCCGCGATCTCGTTCTTTCGGTCATTACCCAAAGCTCATGACCATAGGTGAGGATTGGGACGTAGATCGACCGGTAAATCGAGAGCCTGGCTTTCTGGCTCAGCTCCCTCTTCACCACGACAGATCGGCTCAGCGTCCGCATCACTGCAGACGCCGAACCAATCCGCCTGTCAATCTCCCGATCCCTCCTACCCTCACTCGTGAACAAGACCCCGAGATACTTAAACTCCTCCACTTGAGGTAGGACCTCTCCCCCGACCTGGAGTTGGCAAGCCGCCCTTTTCCGGTCGAGGATCTTTCATGGATGAACTATCAAGGAGTCGGAGTACCCGGCCCGGAGGGTTACCGGGGTCCCACCCTGGAGCCAGGCCTGGGGTTGGGGCCCGTGGGGGAGCGCCTGGTGGCCAGGCTTTTGCCCATGGGGCCCGGCCGGGCCCAGCCCAAACCAGATACATGGACTCATCCAACTGCGGACCCACCACCCGCAGGAGGAACATGAAGGGTCCGGTGCAGTGTGGATCAGGTGGCAGACCGAGGCGGGAGCCTTGGCGGTCCGATCCCCAGACAAGGAAACTGGTCTCTCTCTCTCTCTCTCTCTCTCTCTCTCTCTCTCTCTCTCTATATATATATATATATATATATATATATATATATAAATATATATATATATATATATATATATATATAAAACTGTGAGATTTTTAAAAGTAACTCAGGACCACAGAAATGGTAAAGTTGCAGCCAGTAGCTCATTAGAGTCACCATGGTAACTACATCCCTGTATCACTCAAAACAAGACTCAGTCTACTCTGTATGAAAACTGCAAATAAAACTAAAAACAGTATTTATAATGAAACCACATGTTGTGATGTATAATGTGCATGTTTGGTTTTTTCGTGGTGAAACTGGACAAGATACTTGACAGAATCACAAGTTACAGGCTATTGTTGCCTGGCAGGGATGAAGCTCCAGGTAACTCTAAATCATGACAGCTGAACAAAAACACAGTCACACCTGTATGGTTATAAAAGACTGAGTCATGTAAGGTTCCAGACAACTTTCATTCTTCACACCAGCCAGACAAATCTTCTGACGCTTTAAATATACTAATTTATTAAAATGATTGCAATGTACAAGTACAATAAAGGTAAAATAATACAAGTAAAATTATTATGTTAAAAGTGAAGAACTTAAATTTAAACAATTAAGATTTTAAAATCGAAACAGTTAAATTACCTATAAGTAATATTGCGTATTTAGTTATTTGTTTACCTTGTTTCCTGGTTGTTTTCTTTCTGCCCCGGTGACAGAGGTCGGTAACGGGTGGATGTGTCGGCTCAGCCCGCCTTGGACAACCTGAGCAGAACCACTGGAGAGAGGAGGGGGTTCTGGTTTTGTGTCCAGCGTTCATCAGCCGACAGGCTTGGCTGATGTCTCCTGGCTTCTGATTGGCTCACTCCGCCGGCGCTTCCCTGCTGCGTTCATGGACCGCAGGAACATTCACAACTAGACAAACATTTCACGACATATTGTCGAAATTTTAGATTTGAGATGAGATTAAAATAACTTGTGATAAAAGAGGCTTTGAAAGTCTAAATGACACTTTTAGCTTTTGTTTTTGAGCTGAAGTTGCAACTTTAAACTTTATGTTCCATTTTCTATTTCCCCAGAACGTCACCAAGAAATTGGGAAATATGTGGATTTGATCTGTTAACCTAAAACAATTTGGCAATAACTTGTCTCGTTCTAAACTTCAGTGCAAAATTTGCACAAATAAAATGTAAAAAAATGCCCAATTTGTTCATAAAGCAAGAAAAAAGAAAACCCAAATGCTTGATTTTTTTTAAAGCTGAAGAAATTACAAGAAAAATTAAGTAAAGCTGTATGTGAAAAAGGAGAAAATATCAGGCATACAAATAAAAATGCTGAAAATTAAACATTCAAAGGCATAAATATTACTAAACCTCATAAAAGCCCGTAAATAAAAGTAGTTATTCTTTTTAATGCAATAGCCAATTCAGTTAATCATTTTACAAAACTGAGATGGGATGACAACTATTCATGGCTCACTGACATTTTTAAGGTCACAAGTGATGCAACACTGAGCTGTGTGTTATTATAGGGCAGCAAAAGGCCTAAAATAACCCCAAACTTCCATCAGGAAGCTGCACTTGACTCAAGTTTAATATACAGATGAATTTCTGGTTATTTGTGAGGAATTCTCCCATCTCAGTTTCATCATTGAGAAACCACCTGAGACCTGCAGCATTTACACCTCACAGGTATAAAGCCAAACTGAAGTCAGTTGTGTGGATTTGTTTTCCCTCTCTGAAGCCACGCTCTACTAAAAACGTCCACAATAGTAAACCAATTGTGACCGACCACACACACACACACCCAACTGTTTTATCTTCCCTCAGCAGTCACTAGCACCCCCTGGTGGTGCCTTCAGTAAATCGCGAGCACCCACAGTGCGGGAGTGTTCAGACGGTGCCAACAGTCCTGTGTAGAAACCCAACTGCACGAAGACACTGGGGGGTAACTGGAGCAAAGCATTTTATTTTTATCAAGTGTACAAAAACAAGTGCAAAAATAGTGATTCTTAAGAGCTACAAAGTCAAAGTGGCCCTTCAAAAATTACAGCCAAGAGACAAATTGAAACGCGTTTGCTCAAAGGTTGCGAAGTACAAAAGATTGCAAAACATGGACTTGGATTCACAGCATTTCATAAGTGCAAGCTGAAACAGGCGCCTAGTTCACCAGCACTCTCCTCTAAACTCTGCCGAGGAAGAATCTACCAACGACATTCACTTGCACACCAAGAACTTTGGCCCAGATCCAGATGCCATCACTACTGGGGAACACATCAGCGTCGGATAAACTACAGCAAGGTTACGGTTCATGTTATGGATACAGTTAATCAGGCATGCATGCAGTAAAGGTACCTATTTAATCTAACAGGTAAACACTGGTGTGTAGAGAGGAGGTCTATGTTAGTTAAACACGGGTTATGGAGGGTAAACAGCAGCTAACAATTCTCACTAACAGCTCTGAACTACACCGACATCGAGTCAAACTCAAAGGCATCTTAGGTTGTGGTGCAAATTAATGGTAAAAAGGCACACAGCTCGTGGGTTTAGAGAGAAACCCTAAATGCTGCACATACCCTCCAAAGTCAGGCCTACGTTTCACCAGACACCTAGCAGGAAACCTAAAGAATGGCACATTTCAGCTTCTTCTTCTTCTCGTGTTCTTTTTTGGTAGACTGGACCTCCTTGTGTGCGTAGAAGCTGGAGAAGATGGCCGGGGCGCCGATGGACTCTCGGAGCTCCAGCATCCACCTCCCTTCGCCGTAATACCTCAGCGGGCCTAGCCCCATCTCCTCCACCACCTCCCCCTGCGGCAGGGCCAGGATCTGGAGGAGATCCAGGCCCGTCTGAACGGGCTCGATGCCCTCGGCACAGGCGAGGGTGATGTGGGCGCGGCTCCCGCGAGGCAAGGAGCTGGACTCTGCCTGCTTTTCCTCCTCAGCTGGCCACAGCAGAAGCTGCTCCTCGGTGAGCACCACTCGGGCGCCGACGGTGCGGGGCGTGACGAAGAGGGCCACCAGCGACAGCTCAAACACGGAGCCGTAGGACTTTTTAACAGCCTGGACCGTGGGGCGAAATAAAAGTTAAATACAAAACTGACAGTTGAAGGAAGGAATGTGTGAGGAGAACTCTTACAGGATTCTGCGCGTACTCTTTGGCCCCATCAGCTCTTCCATAGTCGCAGTACTTGGTGGTGCAGTGGAAAGTGGACTTTTCATTGAAGTACTGCTCCAGGTCCACCTCCTTCTCAGCTTTTCCTGAGACTAAGACAAGATCTGTGAAATAACACGTTTCAAATTCATTTAAAACCCCATTCAGTGACACTCACAGTCAGCCATGTGCTTTTTGAAGGCATCCATGGTGTCCAGCGTTTTCAGGAAGTCCAGCACTGTGCACCTGAGCTTGTCCTGCACCGAGGACAGGAGAAACCAGCCGTAGAACAGAGGGATGGACGTCTCTTCCAGCGGACTTGTCATCGCTTCCAGCTGGGCCTCCTCCAGCCTACGGCTCGTCTTATTTTTCAGCTCGGCCAAATCTCGGCTCCACTCGGTTTGTGGCTCCAAGAAGATGGCGACGAGATTGTATTCTTCAGCTATTTCTCCCAGGCGGGCCAGCCGGTCGTGGGTGTGGTTGGTGTCGTCCACCACGACCAGCACCGCGGCAGGCACATCGGCACCACAGCGGGATGCTACTGCGTCATCCAGGGCCTTGTATCCATCGGCAGATGACTTTGGGTTTTCTGGTTTAATGTCGTGACTATCAGCACAGAACACGGAGCACTGGTCTATGTAGGCATCGGCAATGGCTCTGGCCAGGAAGCTCTTACCACTTCCTGGAAGTCCCCTGAGGACAACAAGGGTGCGGGAAACTCTCAGGGCCTTTTTGGTCTCCTCTTGCTCTAAAATGGCAAAAGACAGCGATCCAGGGGCAGGAACCACATTCTCTTCCTTCTGAGGCTTGGGCTCTTTCTGCTCAGGTTTAACAGCTTCAGCTTCCACAGCTGGCTCAGTCTGACCAGGGTCCCCCCTCTCCTGAGGCGCAGCAGGTTCTTCACTTTCCACCTCAGCCAATGCCTCCGTTATGGTCGGTTGTTCAGAAGAAACTCGTTTTTCTGCCACAGCCTCTACTGCTGCTGCTTCTTCTTTAACAACCTCAGCCGATGCCTCCTGTGTTGCTGCTGCTGCTTCAGTTGGTTTTTCAGGGGGAACGTCTTTCTCCTGAACAGCTGCTGGCTCATCTTTCACGGTCTCGGCTTCCACTTTGGTGTGCAGTTGGCTTTCCGCCTCCACGGGTTCTGGAGCTCTCTCTTCCTGGCTGGGTGGCTGCGCTTTGACTGGCTGAGGCGACACCTTCTCCTCTGGCTCAGGTGAGTGTGAAGGCTCTGGGATATCTTCTGGCTCAGGTTCAGACATTTTTACAGGGGACTCCGACTCTGGTGGCGCCACCACACTGGACTCTGACTTTTCTTCTTCTTTTTCACCTTGATTTGTATTTCCAGCAACAACGGGCTCTTCTGCGTTTGCTGCCTCTGCAGCGTGACCATTTAACTCCAGCTGCTCAACTTCTTCCACAGCAGCCGGTGGATTCTCAGGCTCCACGGATTCCTCCGTCACCTCCAGTTTTCCCATTTTTTCCACTACAGCCTCCTCCTGCTTCTGAGTTTCTGACATGTCTGGAATGCTGTCCATCTTCTCGGTATCCATGTCTGACTTAAAGCCCGGTTTTGCACACCAACATGTACCTTAAATACACAATCAAAAACCAGTTATTCTCACCAGACGTGACGGGAATGATGACCAAATCATTTTGTTTGAATTTATGCAACATTTCTACAAGAATATGGTACCAAATGAGCCTTAAATGGCTGCATGCACTCTCAGTGGACATAATTAAACACCATCTGGACTGAGGTCAAAGTCTCAAACAGGAAGTTGCCCAATATCAAAGTTTTATGTACAATAAATGATTTTAAGATATTGTGCAAGAGCAGGATTTTGGTTCTCATCACCAATTAGCTGTAATTCTAACTTTAGTGTTGGTTTTGTCCAGCAGCCGTGTCAGCTCACACGGAAGTGGAGGCCAAATTAGATTATTCAAATATGAGATTTGAGTTTATGTGGAGGACGGTTACGTCTCAGGTCAAAGGTTGGGACAGACACGAGCTCCAGCTGTAGGGAGGGTCAGACGCGTGCGTCCTCGGTGGGAAACGAACAAAGGGCTAATTAGGAAATTGGAAAAAGGTGCACCAGTGGGACTTTCACCGCCCCGTCAAGTAAAACACACGACGCTGTAAATCTAAGAAAATCGTGTCAATAAAAAAAAGAGGAAGAGGTTTTGCAACAAAGAAACTAAATGTAAAAAAAACGTACTTAAACGCAACCGAAACTGAATTTGAAACCTGAACACGCAAAATAAGCCAACAAAAAAGCGACTTCTGCTTTAAATAAGAAATAACTGATCTTTTGTTTAAATATAAGATGTAAAAAAAACACGTTTACTTCAAGGAAGACTACAGTAAGACTACTTTTTTCACATTCAAGTGTCGAAGGCGGAGCTAAACTGCTGCCAAATGTTATTTTAAACAGAGAAAACTGGAGTTTGGGAGATAATTAGCGACACGTTTTGTTGAGGCGGGGAGTGTCTGGCGTGGCTAGCACCCCCAGACAAAAACAGTTATGCCCCCCGGGCAGGGGACGGCTAACGCGCCCGCTGCAACATCACCAGCAGCCCCGTCGCCAGGAAGCTCCGCCAGCTAGTCACGAGAGTCTGTTACCGAGCAGGAGGACGAACCCTAGAGGAGAGGAGAGACAAAAGCCCGTGAGGAGTTAGCTAGAGCTACGCCCGCTTACCAGTCACCCTGCTGCTGCTGACCACGCGCTTCCCTCTGAGCACAATGACGACGCAGAGCTGCTGCTGCTGCTGCTCCTGGAACACGCGAGCGCATAAAAAAAGAAAAGAAACGGAAACTGCCGGGAACGCGCAACTGGGCGTGGCCAAGGGCACGCCCATGAGGACCGGAAGAACGCGATGATTGCTGAATCTGTTCACAACCTCATATGTTTTATACCCTGCAGATACAATAGATGCACTTTAAAACGCGCTGTTTGAGCTGGAAACGTGTGCTGTGATTGTCTGCAGAGTGTTCACCAGGTAGCTGATGACGAACGATCCAATTTTGTCAAATCTTTATTAAAACGATTCTTACACCAGGGCTGCATGGTGGTGCAGTTGGCTGCACCGTTTCCTTGCAGCAAGAAGGGTGTCTGAATCCCAGCTACAGCCTTTTTTCATAAAGTTACCAAATTCACCACATGCATGCATATTGTCCAGTTTTCTCCCACATACCAAAAACGTGCATTTTAGGTCCATTGGAATATATGAATTATATTTTGTAGTTTGTATTTTTGTCACCCAAGTCTCTCTGCTGTGGGACTCTTGGGTTGCTGGAAAATCTCCTCAGGGTGCACTGCACAGCATGCACACCAGCACTTCCATGGGCTTTGGTTATAATACCTCAAAATGTTCTCTTCCAATCTGGAACAAAATGGTCTTTTACCTGTCACATCTCCTACACAAAACACTTTCATCTGCTGAAAGTCCCGCTTCTGCTGCTCACGGTTGAAGAATTCCCCCAAAAATATTGAATAGATTTGTTGTTTGGTTTAGGCAAAAATATTGCTTGATTTTAGCACACGCTAAAATCAAATAGTAAATGAAAATAAGTGGTGTGAGCTGTTAACTCAACAGAGCTTTCATAAAATTTGCTTCAAAACACATACAGTAGCCTACATTTGAACTGATAGATACTAAAGTATAATTTATTTATTCTTTTCACCCCATCTATACAAAAAATAAATAAATAAAAGAAACAAACCATAGAAACAAACATGAGAAAAATATACATGAATAACATCGATTCAGGAAATACATAGATGGGAACCATAAACAGCACACAATCATCAAGAGGTAACATCCAGTTTACCAAAGCGTGGGCTCCTAATGGCATCACAAACACAGGTTGTCTCATATGCCATCAACCCTGAACGTTTCACCATGACACTCCAATCTCTCACCAGGACACAGCTAGCTGGCATGAACACAGCGAGGTCTGAAAACACAACTTCTTTGTTAGACGCTCTGTGCTGTTAAATGGAACCGTGTGACCAGACATTCAAGCGCATCTCCACACATTAAAATATCATGAAAATAGTCCAGATGTTTTTGGCGAATCGGGTCAGAAACTTAAAGTCATATTTTACGTAGATTAATCACACATAGAACAAATAGTTAGAGCCTTTATTTTTTGTACTTCTGAATATTGTGGCTATAAGGAGATAAGGAGAACTCTAAGTTGAAACTGTACATCTCCTTTAAGCCCCATGAGATGTCTAAGCTGCAGCTGTTACACACCTGCTTAGACTCTATCAAAACCTGGATGGCAGGGAGCTTTCTACAGCTGAATGAAGATAAGACTGAGATCCTCATCTGTGCCCCAGATAAGCGGGTTCCCAAAGTCAGAGACTCTCTTGGTCAGCTTGTTTGCCACACCAAACCTTCTGTCAGGAATCTTGGCGTGACCTTTGACCCAGCTCTCACCCTGGATTCTCATGTCAGTTCTCTTGTTCGCTCTTCCTTCTTCCATCTCAGGAACATTGCTAAGCTGAGTCCCATTCTGTCCCGCTCTGAACTTGAGACAGTTCTCCACACCTTCATCTCCTCACGCTTAGACTACTGTAACTCTCTTTTCACGTGTCTGAGCAGAACCTCCCTGAACCGTCTACAGGTGGTTCAGAATGCCTGTGCTCGGCTTCTGACCAAGTCCTCCAAACACACCCAGATCCTGGTTCTGGTCTATAGGGCCTTACATGGACAAGCACCATCTTACATTGTAAATGGTAAAATGGTCTGTATTTGATATAGCGCCTTCTAGAGTCCTAGAACCCCCCAAGGCGCTTTACAACACAATCAGTCATTCACCCATTCACACACACATTCACACACACATTCACACACTGGTGGTGATGAGCTACAATGTAGCCACAGCTGCCCTGGGGCGCACTGACAGAGGCGAGGCTGCTGAGCACTGGCGCCACCGGTCCCTCCGACCACCACCAGCAGGCAACGTGGGTTAAGTGTCTTGCCCAAGGACACAACGACAGCGACAGACTGAGAGGGGCTCGAACCTGCAACCTTCCGATTACGGGGCGAGCACTTGACTCCTGTGCCACCGATCACATTGTTGATCTTCTCAGTCCCTACACCCCCAGGAGGTCCCTGAGGTCCAGTGATCAAAGCCTACTGGTTGTGCAGCAACAGGCTAAAGACCAAAGGTGACAGATCATTTGCTGCTGTGGCCCCCAGACTCTGGAACTCTCTCCCCCTGAGCCTGAGATCAGTGGACTCAGTGGTCTCCTTTAAAAAGAAGCTGAAGACTCACTTGTTCAAGCTGGCTTTTGTATGACCTTCTTCACCACTCTCTCTTTATTCTGCTCTCCCCACCTATTCCACCTTCCTCAGGATCCACTGATTTCTCTCTTTCCTGTTCACTTTCTCTCTTTCTTAACATTTTTTAATCACAATTGCCTATTTTTTTGCTCATTTTAAATATATTTTTAAACATTTTCTAAATGCTTTTTTATATTTTTTACATTTTTTGTTTTTGTGAAGCGCCTCGTGATTTTCATCTTGAGAGGTGCTATAGAAATGACACTTTCTTCTTCTTCTTTTGTGTCTCAGAAAATTCTGAGTATTGTGAAAAAGTGAAATGGTGAAACTCACGGTGTCACGCCCTAATCAGGTAATTAACTTACAACACCTGCTTCCAGGGCCTCTGAATGATCTGATCAGCAGGCAACACAGCATGGGGAGGACTGCTGAGTGGACACATGTCCAGCGGACAAGTACATCCTCCACAAGGATGAAGCTACAGAAGAGCATCCAACACTCATTCGGAGCGTTTTCTGTGGATGCTGAGGTGCATTAAGCTGGTGTCATGAGCATGTTTTCATATTTGTTTCATCAACAACCTGCTGAGGGTCACGCCGATGGAAACCTCGAGCTGTAAACTGATAGTTTCACAAATACTAAGCATTTGTTCACTAAAATGCTTTTTTTTGAGAATTTTGTTCTAATAAGAAATCCCAGAGGAGAGCTGGGACCTGCTGTGTGAGGGCAGTCTAGACGAGGCGAGATCAACGACTGAAATCACAGTTTTAGGCACCTGAAATGACAAACTCTCAGTGAAGACCAAACTTTAGCATAATTAGTTATCTTGTGTATTATTTAAAATCCTTTGCTCCAAGACCAACGCAGTAAGGATGGGGAGTACTGTCTCATTTACAGCGTTGTCAGTAAAATACATAATAATAAGTCATTCTGGGATAAATATGCTAATTAATAACAAACAACAAATTTCTATAGAAGTGTTTTTATTCAGGGTGCATCACATATAATTGTGTAAGCTGTTAAAACTTACAATGAGCCACACACGTGATATGTTTCCTGAGCTACGAAGAAGGAAATTCTGAATCTTTGTTTTAATAGTGATGGATTATACTGAGCCAGGATTCTCTGGAGGTTTCTTCCTGTTAAAAGGGAGTTTTCCTCTCCACTGTCGCTGCATGCTTGCTTAGTATGAGGATTGCTGTAAAGTCACTGACACTAGTCAGTGACTTGAAGCAATTTGCTGGGTTCCTTATATAGGAAACATTATTTCTGATTGGCTTAATGAACTGACCTGAATTGGAATGTTTATTATGTGAAGTGCCTTGAGACGACTCTTGTCGTGATTTGGCGCTATATAAATAAGCTTGAATTGAATTATAATCCATACTGTAGCTGCTAAAATGTAATTGATCTGGCTCGGTGGCTTAGTGGTATGAGTGTTCGCCCTGAGATCAGGGTTTGATTCCCGGTCGGGTCAGACCAAGGACCCAGTGCCTCCCTGCTTGACACTCAGCATTAAGGGTGGGATTGGGCTGTGTCTGCAGCTCACCGCTCCCCCAGGGCATGGGTCCAACACGAAGAACAAATTTCGCACACACATCAGCGTGTGTCAACTAACGGGATTTTAACTTTAACAGGTTGACCTATTAAAAGTTTTAAATTTATTTTATATAAAAGCTTCTGAAGAAACAACGCTTTGTCCCTGTAAACCCACAAGGACTCTTAACTAAACTAAATAGATGCCAGTAGTCGCCGTTTTCCATAGGTCCAAACGTCTTTTTGTCCGTGACTTCAGATGGTGATTTTCTTTTTGGGACTCTGGTAGTTTGTTCTAAAGCTGAAGTGGTAGCAGCCGGCTGTTTCTCCTCCTCTTGTGTTATTTATTGGAGAACCTCTCACACCAGTGGTGTTCTGTCGCTAAATACGTGAGTGTGTGATGCGTGGAGGAGCCAGGGAGCCGCAGCAGTTCGGTGAGACCGACAACCAGACGGTCCGATGCCAGGGCGCCAGACTCCAGTCCTCGAGGGCTGGTATCTTGTTATTGTTCCCCAGTTCCAACACAGCTGAATCACCTGTGCAGCGGCTTATCAAGCTCTCCGAAAGCCTGCTAATCTCCTGCTAACTGAAATCAGGTGTGTTGAAACAGGGAAAAACAGTAAAACAGGGGTGGGGAACCCTGGTCCATCGAGGGCCGCTATCCAGCATATTTTAGCTTCAACCCTGCATCATCACACCTGATTTCAATCAGCAGGTGATTAACGGGCTTCTGCAGAGCCTGATGAGCTGCTGAACAGGTGAATCAACCACTGAATCAGAAGTGTTGGACATCTTAGGTGTTCTTGCTGTGCGTTATTTCTAATTCCATGTTGTCGTTCTTTTTTAAAACACCTTTTTTAAAATACCTGTTATTGACGCTACAGTTTCGCCGAAACTGTAGCGTCAATAACAGGTAACAAAACCGTTTCTGTGTTTTAAAAAAGAACGACACCATGGAATTAGAAGTGTTGGAGCAAAGACGTGCAGGATAGCGGCCCTCGAGGACCGGAGTTTGACACCTGTGGTCTAATGGTTGCTTTCAGTCCGAGCCATGCTATTGGTGGCTTTTAGACAAATGCGAGAGAACTGATTTATTCATTTATTTTTTATCCTCCAAAATATATGTACAGCTATGCTATGTTAGAACGTTGCTGAGAAGCATAACAACAACGTTTTAGGCTCAGTTGTTTTCCAGATTTGCTGTAACAGCTTTAAGTCACAATTAAAGCTCAAGCTTGAATAAGTGAACAAATCTTATAGAACTAAGTTTTATGTGGGTATCGGTTTCCACCCTCAGCCACCTATTCAGAGTCTTTTTGAACTAGTTCTCAGTAGTTGGATTTTTATTTTGTTATACAATAACAGTGAAATCTGTTAATAAAAGACTTAATTTACTGAAGTAAAGAGAAATGGTTTAGATTTAAAAGCAGCAGGTTTGGTTTATCATTGATCTGTGCGTTGGTGCTGCACTATAGTCTACCTCCTCAGGACCAGACTGCGCCATCTTTTCCTTCAACAAATTAGAGAAGTTGAACATTTCCCTTCATTTGAATCGCAGCTTGCCATTAGGGAGACTAATGGAGAACCACTGCTCTAGACCAGGGGTGTCAAATATACGGCCTGCGGGCCGGATCTGGCCCGCAAACAGGTTAAATCCGGCCCGCGAGATGGTTGTGTAAACTTTATTTTCATACTTTACAATGTAGAGTGAAAATAAACGTATCTTTGTGAGCAAGTTTTCTCTGTAATGAGTATAAATAAAACAAAGCTGTGCTCAAGGCTCACACAAGAACTTGAATCACATCCTGAAGTTGGCCGCCACTCAGGATGTGACTTCTGATACTGATGTGCTGGTGAAAGCTAAAAGATGTAAAGTAAAATGAGTCAAATATACTTTAAGTGCTGCATGAAACTGATCTAGCCATGTTATCTGTAAGCTCTGAATCACTAAGGAATGTTTTATTTATTTCAAATTTTCAAGTACACTTCAGGTGTTGTACTTGTACTATTTTGGATACACTGTCTTCAGGCTCCAGCTTTGTTTTATAGTGATTGTATTAAAATAAAGAAAACAATCTGAAGTTGTTTTTAATTTACCGGTCCGGCCCACTTGGGACTAGATTTTCCTCAATGTGGCCCCTGAGCTAAAATGAGTTTGACACCCCTGCTCTAGACTATCAATGATGGATTGCAATAAATACAAGGAATTTATAATAATACAGTTTACTTCCATGTCCCCGACCTCACGCAGCTATACTGATGAACATATCGTTCAATTCTATCTGGAATTTCCTCAAGCTGCTCTCGGATCCACAATCATCGTCTAAAGATGTTCTCCGTCTGGTAGAAGCTGCTTTGCCTCGTTGAGAGCCTAAAAGGAAAAAATGTCAGCATTCAGAAATGTCTTTAGAAAGGCAGATGGAGGTAAGTAACGACAGAGGAAACCTTCTGAATGGCTCCCAGAGCGGCCTCGTCTTCTGTAAGCCGAGCAAGGGATGAAGCCTTTTCAAAGTGGGACACAGATGATTCAACGTTTCCAGTTTTCACTGAAACAAAGAGGAAGAGAAGGAAGGCTATGTTTAAACCTCAGGGGGGAAGTGTGGTGATGCCGTAGGTATTTAAAAAATAAAATGTTCAATTATTACATTCTGCTTGTGCAATCAAAACGTTTCCATTCAACTGCCACTTCTCGTCAGCGGCTTCCTCGGCCGCAGCAAGGCAGCGGATCCCGTAGTGTTTGGCTTCTTCATACTGCTTCATGTTCAGGGAGCTGGAGCCGATGTTGTGAAACAACCAGGCCTTTTCCAACCCGTCATCAACCAAAGGAATCATCTGTTCCCAGCTGGAGAACAAAGAACATGAAACAGAGTTTTAAGGCTGGTCAGAAAGCTTACGGAGATTCTTTGATTGACTTACAACTCAACGGCTTGTGCAAACTGTCCGGTCTGAGCCAACGTTAGACCCATGTTGTTCAAAGCCCTGGACGTGGCTTCTGGAAGTTTGCTGATGATGAAAACGATAACTCAGCATTTGGACTAAATCATGCTTTTGTGCTCATTTTTTCTGCATTCTCACCACCGCTCAGCCAGCTGGAGGTCTGTCCGATGGTGCTCCAGTGCTTCGTCCATATCTCCCAGGATGAAGAAAGCTCTGCCAATGTAGCTATGCAGGCTGCCCAGGAGCTCGTATTTATTAGGAATGTCCTCAGTGGTCCAAGTTTGAACCACACTCATGGCTCGTTTTGCCTTCTTCAGACTAGCCTCTGCATTACCACGAGTCAGCTCTGAAGATACAAAAGAAAGGTTAAGAAATAAAAAATGAAAGCAGAGAGCCGACAGGAGCGCGTCCTACCGTTGTCGATCTCATTCAGGCTTTTCAGCACAAACTGAGCCTGCTCAGAAGGTCCACGCCGTTTCTGCTGCTGAGGGGCGACGGGCTTCTCCAGACTCCACAACTTAGCACAAGTATCAAGAGATGTGAGGCAGTCTTGAATGATGTCCTGCAGTCGTTCGCCATGAATCGTCTCACTCCCAACCAATTCTGCAGCGCATTAGATGACCACAACATAAACAATTCATCGAAAGTGAAATAAAAGCCACAGCGGACCGACGTTGAGTCTCATTAAAAGGCTTAATACCTTCATCTTTCATCAGATCCTCAAGGAATTTCTTGTCATGGTAAAACTTTCCCAGAAGCGCTTTGTTGGTCTTGTCAGTCTTTGGAGTCTGATTATTTTTCTTCTTGATCAGAACAAAGGCAAAGGAAGGAATGACGGGTTTAACAATGCTCTTAGGAAAACCTGCTATGGCTGTTTCTATATGTGCAAAGAAACCAGTTAGTCAGTGCTGCACAAGGCCCGTGTTCACTAAGAAGCACGGCCTTTTTACGCCAGGTTTCTGAATTTTATTGTCGACTTTCATCTAAATAGTTTAGATTTTTCATGGTTTTTGCACTTTAAGTTCACTTTATTTATTTATTTATTTATTTTGGTCATTTAAAAGGAAAAAGAAAGAACACAGTAATGCAGAATCTCAATTATAGTAACCAAAAAGGTGTAGGCTGAAGCCTAGCTTTTATGCCTATTTACTCAACTACATTACTTCTCAAAAAAAAAAAAGAAAAGAAATGACAATAAGAAGATAAAAGTAATGTAATAATAAAAATGAGAGTGAGATAAAAATAGTAATTATGATATTAATAATTGAAATATATTGAGCAACAGCAACCATAATTCAGCAAGAGGAAAAATACCCAGAACTAAAGACAGAACTACAAAACTACCAGTAATATATATATATATATATATATATATATATATATATATATATATATATATATATATATATATATATATATATATTTGGTGTGGGAATAAGGAAAATGTAGAACTCACCCTCTCATCTTTATACAGGAAGGAAAGGTCTTTTTCAGATCCTGTAGGCAGAGAAGATCAAACAATTCAGAGTTTTTATTTTTTAAAAAATGTTATTTCTTACCAGGTTAATAAAAAAAGCTGGGTGAGGTGAACCTCTAAACAACGGAGTCCCTTTGATGCTAATGTTGAATGTTTATCCATGTGTGTGTGTGTGTGTGTGTGTGTGTGTGTGTGTGTGTGGGGGGGGGGGGGTTAATTGGATGGATGAATAATTAGTGTTGAAACATCCCATTTTTATTTACATTTCAGTTTTTAGATGTAACTTTGTAAGTTTGATTCTTAAAATATTTGACATTATTATTTGGATTTGTCGTTCAGTCATAAATAAACTTGTAGGAAAAAGTGACTTTTTAAATCATTATGAATAGTTTAATAAATTAAATATGGAAAATAATGCTATTTTCCCTTTATTATATCATTATGCAATCTGCACTGAGCCCAGAGAACACCTCCACACAGATGACCCACCAGCCGTATCCTCTATCGCCTGCTGTGCGCACTGCGCGCCGAGCCTGAACTTCTGCATATGAGGCTGGAGCTTCAGTCCTCTGCTGTGAAACACCAACGCCTGTTCAACGTTGCCCGTGTGATATAGAGCCTCTGCCTTCAGGTACAGTCCCTGGAAACAAGCAGGAACAAATCCAGCGTTTCAGCTCAGGGGACAGTACCACGAAGGAGAAAGTTGTCTCACCTCTATGAAAGACTTGTCGTCTTTGAGCGTCTCTTCAACATCTGTGAAGACGTTTTCAAACCTACCCATCTTCATGTAGCATTTAGCCCGTCCGATGAGGCATTTCTTATCCCCTGGCCTCAAATTCAGCGCCTGAACGACCAGATTAGGGTTGTTTCAGTCAAGAGTAGCAAACGAGCGCCACGCTAGTAAACGTCACTCACCGCCGTGAAGCTGTTAGCAGCTTGATGGTACTCTCCTTTGTTGAACATCCACTTCCCTTCGGACAAGAAAGTCAGGAACAAATCCTGAGGATTCTTGTTAGATGCCTTTGACATTTTAGCCCACTAAAGGTTTGCCAAGACGAGCTCAGTCCACAGCAACTTTAGCTTCCGCTGGATGGTAACCTAGCAACCGCGACGCCTGACGGACTGCAATGAAGATAAGGGGCATGCGCAGTCCAGAGGCGCCCCCAGAAAATGACCGCGGATAAATAAAGGTGGCCAGATGTGCCAAGGGAAATGTTGGGGTAGCATCATGTTTAGCCTGTGGTGATGCATTGCTCTTTATCCCCCCCCCCCTTTAATTAAAAACATGTATTCAACTCAAATGTGAGAAACACAAACATTTCAGTTATTTGAAATGTTATTCCAAAATTTATTTTAGAATTTTATTTTGTGGTTTAATGGTTAGGTATTGCTGTCTTCACCGAAAACTATGGAGATATAAACTTATTTTTTATGGTGAGCAGCAGAAACAATCTTTTAAATTCTGATTTTACTCATTAATTGTATAATTTGATTTTACATTTATGTCTTGAATAAAATTAATTTATGGTTTGAGTGAGCATTTACTCATTCGCTGCCAGCTTTTTCCTGACAAGAAAAGCCCTTCGCTGCCAGAATTTTTCAGCGTTTTTGGTTTATTTAAGAGTCACAGAACGTTGCGCGCCAGGATGATGTCAGCGCCAAAACTAACAAAACAAAGAGGAGACTCACCTCTTACATAAAGATCTGCGCCTTTCGAGCGTTATCCGTTCTTTCATTATCCGTTGTTGAATTGTGATCGGCAGAAGCTTTTCCGGTTCGTGCCTCACTTTTTTTTTACAGCAGCGCCCCAAAACGATCTCCTAACACATGGATGTTCTGCTTCCTGATCACGTGACGCATGACGTACGCGGATGAAGATCAGCTTTAGAGTTGAAATGTTTGCTCTCACGGTGCGGGGGCTCGTTACGACGCCCACACAGTAAAAAAAATGCAAATGTGACTTTAGTCATCATTGGCAATTAAAGAGTTGATATTATTTATTAACAAAGATCTTGGGGGGGGGGGGGGGGCGCGCACCAATTCTCTAGGATTGGCCATGGCCACCCTTAGGGGACGCCACTACATGCAGGTTTAAACTGGTTTCGCTGTAGTCGAAACAACCGTTTCGGGACAAACTCGCCGTTTGTAAATGTGCTAGTGGCTTCACACACGCACAACTCTTTTTACCAGCTTTCATGCTTTTTACAGAACCAACTATCCTGTCCATTTGTTAATAGTCTTAAACCATATTGGAATGTCAATAAAAACACAGAAACTTACCATGGAAACCAGAGATGGCCAACTTTATTGACACAGCTGGAACGTTTTAGACAGTGGGGGCTAAAACTGAGGGAAAATGAGGACATAATTCTTTTCTTCACCAGGAAGTAACTGAAAATTTCGAGGTTTCCGTCCTTCCACAGAGCACGGCTGACCAAGGCAGCAGCCAACACAGAACATTATGATCTTACTCCTGTTCTCTTGTCCATCTACAGATCTGAGTGATATTGGGTGCCCTGAATCAGTCTGCAAACAAGCAGCATAAAACAGTAATGATGAACCAGTAAATCAATCTTCTTCCTGCAATTTGATTTAAAAAAAAAGGGCTCAATATCAGATCATTTTCAGACACACCTTTATCTTACATTGGTTTCATATGACGGCAAACTTTCAATAAATATACATACGCAAATTAAAATATGAAAAAAGAAAAACCGCACAAATCAATGCTTTACATTCCAGTAAAAGGTACAATTCAGCAAGCTGTGAATGGCAACATCAAACATAAAACTGGTGACACTAAACAAAGCCAGAACTGGCCTCCACTGCCACCTTTATAGTGTGCTTTGGCCGTGCTGAAGGTGTAGGTTTGGGGTTCCAGCTTCTAGATGTTCAATAACCGAGAGCGTCCACAGGCTAGGAGGTGGCAGCAGCTTTCAGTGCGAATTTGTAGCAGTCTGCGGTCAGGTTGACAGATTTTTTAAAGGGCAGCTTACTCAGTGATTTTCCTCAGAAACCATTGATCAAGTTACCAGCTTCCATGCAGAGATCCTCCCGCAGCAGTAAGTTGGGATGAGCAAGACAAAAACTGTCATTGCACCTCAGGAGTTTCCAGAACAGCACTTCCTGCACAAATCCTAAGACACTGATTGAATAGCTGCACATTTTCTCCTTTATCAACAATCCAGGGAACATTCGGACCATGGCCGATTACTGATTTTAAAGTTGTTTTCATTTTTAAAGGGAAAAAAACCCACTTCGTAAACCAGTAACTAACCGATCGGAGGCATCTTCGTATCCTTGCTTTAACGGCCGCTAAAATATTGGCTGCATGTGGTCATTGTGTTGCATTCACTCAGTCAGTGACATAGACAAGAATCTGACTTGCAGTCAGTCATTAATACAGATGGTGGGTTGAAGGGTTGACATTGTAGTAAAGTCCTGATGTAGTAACGCTTTACGAAGAAAAGTTCTCGAGTTAACCAAACTGGAAGAAGAAATTTCCCGGTCCGGACGCTGGAACACAAAATCAAACAATAGCGATTATTATTTACCGTATAGCTTAAAAACATTTCACCATTTACAAGATTCCAACACAATGTGAATTACCTTCAAAGCTAAACCCCCCTGGTCCTCCAAAGAAGGCCTTGAAAATGTTGTTGGCATCAAAGTCTGGAGGTGAAAACACATCAAAATCAGCACAGAACACTTATAATACCTCGCTCTGAAGCCTCGTCCGCACCACTCCAGATACTTGATTAGGATTTGTTATACGTCGTTATGAAGAAGTCTCTATTTATCGCTCCTGTAACAAATCCACAGAATTACCCACACAGTGCCACTGGTTGTGTATTGACCTTTTGCACACGGGACCACCCGCTTTGCCATGGCGGATGGCAAAAACACGGTTTACACGTAAAAACTCCAGTGAAGCGAGTCACAGGGTATCTGCAGGTTTAAGGGAGCCAAATTTAAGACTTTTTAAGACCTTTTTTAAGACCACTTTGACCAAATTTAAGCAATTTTTTAAAATTACATTTATGCTATAATTTTCAGCTATTGCCTGGAACCGGTGCCAACCAAGTCGCGAACGTGGGATTAGCCAACCAGTTACCATTAAACTTGCACTTCCCCATGGCAGAAGCTCCCACTAGCTTAACCAGCTAATGTGCTCATCTAAAAATAGTCCCCTTTCACAACCAACTGAATGCGTACGGTTCCGCTTACGCCAACATCGTTCACACAAAAAATGCTGAACACTAACTAGAAACTCACAAAATTTTTGTAGAAATAAAAGAATCTTGTTAATTGGGTCTTTGGTCATTTAAGAACTTTGGAAACTGGATTTAAGGATTATTTGTCATTTTTAGGGATTTTTAAGGCCTTAAATTTGGAAAAGCAAATTTAAGACTTTTTAAGACTTTAAGAACCCGCGGATACCCTGGAGTCAAAACAAGCCCGTTTGTAGCCTTTTTTCACTTATTGAGTTGATTCTAAAGTAAAATAGTAATGGCTTACTGCACGGTTGGCTGCACTAACAGACAAGAATGTAAAGTCAACTTGTCTCTTCAGATGACTTTGATGGAGACCGAGGACGGATATGAACCGCAGCAGTCTGAGGAAGAGCAGGTCAGGGATAAATGTGATGTGTTTACATTGATAATCCTAACGGATGGATGGATGGATGGATGCTGTAGTGAAATGTGAGATAATTAACTGTAATATTATTGCTCCAATGTAGGATTACGTGTGTTAAAATGACATTTATTTAGTACAAGTGTTGTCGTTCAGAGACATCTGGTCTTATCCTGGTGTGATGGCAGCAGCTGAACCCGGTGACACCACCAGCAACAATAGCTGGCAGGGATCCGGCCTTTTAGTTTTTAAAAATCAGCTTTGGTGTAAAGTGAAATGCTGTTTATAACATGTTATAAATCCAGCAGGTGGAATTTTGGTCGGCAACTTGTTAACATCGGTGAACAGCGGCAACGAGAACTTAAGCCAACTTTCGTAAGCTCCTTAATTCCACTAAACTTTTGTAAACACCGCTCTCTAGGTGCGCTGCTTCTTCTGGTAACTGAACATGGGCTTGAACTAGTAGAAGGAATGCTTGACAAAAAATATATATACATATCACAAAAACAACAAAAACAATTTCAAGCTCTGCTTTTCCCTTTGTTTAGTACTCATGTCAGTCACAGTTTACATGCTTTTGCCAACCAATGGTAGACCCACGTGATTAAGTAATGTCGTGCAAAGGGTCCATTTTGGACACTCCAGAGAGAGAAACCAGTAGGTTTTGGTGTTTCTCAGTTTGGAGAGTAGAGCTACATTTCCTGCTTCTTTATCTTATTGGTTGAAAGTGGAATTAAACAACCTTTCAGTCTATGATGTCATAGCTCCTTCAGCTCCTTCAATGGAGTGTAGACCACTTGGATGTACACTCTGGTTTTAGCTCTTTGCTTTGTCTTTAAGGCTTCATTCAAATTGCAGGCAAAAGTGCATCAAATCTGGAAGATTCGATAGAATACTCGAATACTAAAACATTCCATAGCTGCAGACCTAGTACAACAGGTACACACATAGAGCAGGGAATCTCATAATTGACTACGTTTACATGCAGCCAATATCCGGGTTATGATCGGGTTAAGGTCGGTATTCGAGTTTGAGTTGATCAGAATAACCCGTTTACAAGCATAAATAGAAAGAGTTACCTCTAACTTGCATAACCCGATTTAAATGCGGACGTTGGGGTAGCGTCAGGACGTATGGACTACGTCCAGACGCAATATGCGTCATTTCCGGTTCTTCTTGTTCCGGTATCCGTGAAAACAACAACATGTTTCCCAGTTCGGAAGAGATAGCGACCGCGTTTGTTTGTGCTTTAGTTTCTTCGTCACTCCTAAAGTGTGGTGCTGTGCCGCGACTCGCCATGTTGCTCCCAACTTGTTGTTTACTTCCGGTGTTCTGGCGTGTACAAGACGTCTCGCTACTCAAAAGACCAAGATTCCTTGCGAACAGAGCATGCGCAGAACGCACGCTTTGATGGGGATATCCCGACATGCGTTTACACGACCAAACATTCGGGTTAGAAAAGGGTTACCCCAGGTGTAGCAGCCGGGTTTTTAAAAACCCGGTTATGAGCATATGGCGGTGTTTACAAAGACCTGCGGAACCGGGTTATTGTGAATATTCTGGTTTTAAAAGGGTTACTGGCTACATGTAAACACACTGATTGATGCACATCCAGAGTGGTGTGGACACCAGACTTCTCATTTTAACGCGTCACCTCCCACCCGAGGTTTCTCCCACTGCTGACCTGCCATGTTCATGCCATCATCCTCTAGATCCTGTCCGCTGTCATAGCGAGACTTTTTCTTTGGATCTGAAAGAACGCTGAAAGCTTCACCCACTTCCTTAAACTTCTTCTCCTCTTCCTTCTGCACCTCAGGGCTGGCTCCACTGTGACGGTCTAACAGGAAGGAAAGACAACACACAAAGGTGTGTTTTATACTTAATTTATCCTTAGATGACATTAGATTTAAAGGCAAGCAACCATCAGTCACCTGGATGATGTAAAAGTGCACGTTTACGGTATGCCTTCTTGATCTCCTCTTCTGTGGCGTTCTTATCCACTCCCAGTACTTTGTAATAATCTTTCCGCTTGCTTTTCTTCAACTCCAATTGAGCTGACTTGAGGAGGTGTTTATGTTCTGCAGAAAACACAAAAGCAGGTATAGCAAGTAACGCATTTATAAGGGTGTAACAAACATGAACACAAACGTGGCTGGGAGCTCTCAAGTTTCGTTGCCGTCATGTCAACAGAATTTTTTTTAAATACTTTGAGAGAAACGGCCCCAGAAAGGTCATCTAGTTACAGCACAGACTGAAAATGTGTCTTAAACACTTCTAGAGTCATGTCAAGGTTCTTACATCTTGCAAAAAGTCAGATTGTGAGTTAAACACCTCCCAGGACCATAGCAGCAATCATTTACACACAAACAGTACATATATGACTTAAAATACGATAACTTAACTTCCCTTTTCTATAAAAACAGAGCTATAAACAACCCTAATTATACACAGAGGCAGTGAAAATACTATTTTGGTTCTTTTTACAACAAAATCTTTAAACAGAACCACGTCCACTAAACTAATGACCTTTAACCCATTTTATTTTTTTTAATTTCTAGCTAATTTAGTATTTGATCAGATTTTTCCAAATCTGACTAAACTCATTCATGGAAGACAAATAAGGCATGCAGTAGATGCTAGTTTGAAACAAATGCAACAAACCATCATACGTTGGTCATTGAATTAAGAGGTTTTCTCTGCTTCTTAAAGACAGTTTTAGGTCATTTTGACACACCTTAGTCTCTCAAACTGTTTTTGCCTTTATTTTGAAAAACGTACCCTGGATTGTAGCTTTAAATTTCAGTCTGAAATATTAAAAAGCTATTTTGGGACAGGTTGGTGTCAAAACAGCTAATAAAATGTGTGAATTGTAAACAAGCAAACACGTATGCCCTGGACCATTAAAGATCAAGTTCACTTGTTTTCTCAAAGCATTTGCAGTGTCCTCCAGTATAAATGAATAATTTGTGAGTCAAGCTTTATGGGGAAAAGGCCCTTGGGCTCCTCAGGAACTAGAAGTAAGCCAGAGCCCGTGCTTATTTCGTTGACTAAAGATTTTTGTTTTTTGACAATTTAATTTTCATGCACTAAAATGAAAACATACACACCAATATCGACTAAATTATGACGTATATTGACCGACATTTTCGCTGATGAGTAAGACGACAACGAAAAATACAGAAACGAAAATCCAACCAGAAAACGGACAAGACGGGCGACCGAAAAAATGAACCAATCAGCAAACGGAACAGGCGGGACTAAACGAGAAAAGAACCAGTCAAGAGTTCGGAGCCGGCCACTGTTTGAACAAGCTACCGCTACACAGACATTATATATGTTTAAGCTGGTGGTGGGGGTGGGGGGTGGGGGTAGAAGCAGAGCTGGGGTCTAATAATTATTTTTTTCGTGGCGCTGCTACAGCCGGTATGATCAGCTCTCAATGTTCTAGCAGTGTTTTGTGAGGAGAAACGTTCAGGTGTCCCACCTTGATCAAACAGTCTAATAAAAACTCTAATAAATACACCTGAAAACAATTCTTACCTTTATTTTACCATTAGAGTAGTACATTTGAATGGTTTGATGGTATGATGTCATTTTCAAACTTTCCTTTAAAAGAAATACTTCACATTATATAGATTTGTTTATTTTATTAATACTGAGGCACAATTTCAAAATGCCAATGTTCATTTAGTTTTTCCCCAATAATTATCGTTATAGAAACAATTAAGTGTGTGAAATGTGAATTTTTCATACTTCTTTACAGTTTCAAGTAACTGTAGTTAACATTTCCTTTACACAAGTTAAAAATTATTGCATCAGAAGAAAAATGCATTTATTTTAGTTAACTAAAATAAGACTAAAACTAAAACAAATTGGATGACTAAACTGTGTCTAAAATAAAAATTATTCGTCAAAAGACTAAGACAAAAATAAAATTAAAATTTCTTGTCAAAATTAGCACTGGCCAGAGCAGAGGAGAGCTGAAAATGGCGGGAATTCCACCCCCCCCCCCCAAAAAAAAGTATTATTTCCTGATATTTGGACATCTCGCCTGATTGGAAAACAGCAACTCGACTACCACCGACTCCCATTTGCTGTGCAATGTTGATCTCAACAAATAACACGAGCCTAAAGCAGCTCTGATGTGTGGTGGAGTTTTTGATGCTAACGGCTCTACTAGCCGAGACGTGCTCTGCGGTTTCCTGGATGCTAAACCAACAACAGCCTTCTCCGTCGTGAGCAACGATGGGTGAGTCCACGGATGTTAACTTACAGTGTGAAGTAGATCTGAAGTAGTCTGTAAAAATCGGAGTGCCCCCCCAGAAGCACATTTATAAACAGAAACGTGAAGTCGCCATCTTAGAAAAAAAAACAGAGGAACAGTGTTTATGTGTGATACGCTTGTCAGCCACTAGATGGTGCCATTGGATAAGAGAAATACCCCAGAAAGAAGCTTTAAGTGTAGTATGCAAACTGTTTAGCTTTTTGTAAGTGAGATTTTGGTTTTAAAAATAAACATTAAAACCAAAGTCTCTTCACATCCAGCTGCGTTGATTCACTTTATACGCCAGCTTCAACTCCAAAACACTCGGAAGTCCTTGACGCCATCGCACCTGAAAAGGTCAAACTCATTTCAGGCAAACAGAAAGCTCCACGGAGGTTCACTCGATCGGTTACTAATCAAAAGCGAGAATGTAGAAAAGCAGAGCGCCGATTCAGGAAAAGTAATCTACCAGTTCACTATCAGACCTTCAAAATGCAGCTGCGCACTTTTAACGTGGGGATAAAAAAGGCGAGACAAGCATTTTTCTCAAAAGTCATCAATGATAATATTAACAATTCCCATGTTCTGTTTGCTGCTGTCGAGAGACTAACTAATCTCCCAGCATAGTTAGTCCAGGACTTCATATCTCAGACCAAATGTGATGAGTTTGCATCTTTCTTCAATAAAAAAAAAAAAACACAAACAATAAATTAGCCATTCATTCCTCTAGATCAACTAACACACACAGAGCACTGACAGCCTCACAGCAACAACCTGGCCAGAAGGCCAACTTTCACCCTGATTAGTCCTAAAACCCCGAATGACAAACCTAAATTCCTCGTCCTGCTGTCTGGACAGCCTGCCTACAAACTTCTTTAAAAATGTTTTTAGTTGCCTAAAAGCTGAGGTACTGGAAATCGTTAACTGCTCTTTAATGTCAGGAATCTTTCCTACATCACTGAGAACTGCTGCTGTGAAACCCCTTCTAAAGAACTAGATCCCTCAGTGTTGAACAACTACCGACCGATCTCTAATCTCCCTCTGATGGGAAAAGTCATTGAAAAGCCGGTAATGATCCAAATAAACAATTATGTAGAGTCAAATAACATTATGGTCTTCAGTCAGGCTTTAGACAGCACCACAGTACAGAGACTGCACTGATAAAGGTATTAAATGACATTCGTCTTAACACTGATTCAGGTAAAGCATCTGTCCTGATTATGCTTGACCTCTGTGCAGCTTTGATACTGTGGACCATAACATCCTTCAGGACAGACTCGCAAACTGGGTGGGACTATCAGGCACAGTGCTTGGCTGGTTCCAATCCTATCTCAAAGACAGGAGCTATGCCGTCTCTATTAGGGATCACTAATCAAAGTGGATCACCATGGCATGTGGGGTCCCCCAAGGCTCAATTCTAGGACCACTAGTCTTTAATCTCTATGCTCCCCCTGGGTCAGGTCATACTTAACAACATCGCTTAACATAGCTATGCTGATGACACCCAGATCTACCTAGCCCCATCACTTAGGCCCTGTCCACACGTAGCCAGGGATCTGCACACGAAAATGGATCTTTTTAAAAACTCCGGCCAAAGTGAAGATCTGCGTTTTCTCCGTTTTGGTGTCTGCGTGTGGACAGACAAAACCGGAGTTTCAAGGTCCGCAACGTCACTTTCCGCGACAAAAAAATGCTGACATCACGTGTGCGACCTGTGTTTACACTAGCCGGCAGCATGGATGCCCTCAGAGCTGCGCTCGCTTTATCAATTGTCCAAGCGCTTTTTGCTTGTTTGTTTTTGCAAGCGGAATTACTGCTCCTTGCGGAAGACCACAGACGAAGGACGAGTTTAAGAACGGGGAAAGTACTGCCGCCTACAGGTCTGGCGTGTCCTTAACAACGTATTTATCCGGGTACGTGTGGACAGAGTTTTTTTTTTTTAAAACGAGGTGGTGTGGATGCAAGTTTTTGGAGGGGCGGATATTCGTTTTTAAAATAACCCGGCTACGTGTGGACTAGGCCTTAGTGCCTGTGGGCCACTGGACTCACTCTGTCAGTGCCTGGAACAAGTAAACGGCTGGATGCAGTCAAACTTCCTTCTGCTAAACAAAGACAAGACTGAAGTTATTGTCTTTGGCAACAAGAGGGATAGAATGGATGTCATTGCTCAGCTAGACTCCAGGGGAATAAAGACAAAGACCCAGGTTAGAAATCTTGGTGTTATTATTGACGCCGACCTGAGCTTCTCTGGACATATTAAGGCTTTAACTAAATCAGCGTTTTAACACCTTCATCAGATAACAAGAGTCAGAGGTCTCATGTCCAGACCACACTTGGAGAAACTTAGTCATGCTTTTATTTCTAGTCGACTGGATTACTGCAATGGTCTCCTCACTGGTCTTCCCAAAAAAGCTGTGAAGCAACTGCAGTTTGTTCAGAATGCTGCTGCTAGGGTCTTAACACGAACTAAGAGAACGGAGCACATCACTCCTGTTCTTAGATCTCTACACTGGTTACCAGTGAACTACAGAATAGATTTCAAAGTGCTCCTACTAGATTATAAATCACTCAATGGCATGGGATCAAAATACATGTCTGATCTCATTCCAGTATATACACCTAATAGGGCTCTCAGATCCCTTGGAAACAATCAGCTGGTAGAGCCACAGGTCAGAACAAAACATGGTGGAGATGCTTTTAGCTACTATGCTACTCGCATATGGAATCAACTCCCCCATGACCTCAGATCTGCCCCAACCCTAGTGTTGTTCATTACAAAACTAAAAACCCTAATGCACTCATCAGCCTTTGAATGAATTGTTTCTCATCATGCGTCATCTCCACAGTAATCTGCGTTGCAACGGTGTCTTCTCCTTTAGCTCTAAACTGTAAATGGATTTGTGTATTTTAATTTGTGTTTTCATATCGGTCCTGATAATTGTAAAGCACATTGAATTGCCTCCGTTTGAAATGTGCTCTATAAATAAAGCTGTCTTGCCTTCTAAGAGTGGTTCACTTCAGACTTGTCAGTAGAAGTCATTCGAGTCATTTTAACTTCCCTTCAGTAAAAACAAAACAAAACAAATAAAAACAACGAAATGAAAAGAAAATCCATGTGTTCACCTTTTGTCTTCTCTGTCTGGTAGACCTTTTCGTAGTCTCTCACAGCCTCTTCATACTGCTCTGTGTCCATGTAGCTGCAACAAAAACTCCATATTTAAACTTTGGCTGATACTTGAAAATACCAGCAAACTAAATACTAAAATAGTTGGCATCTTAACTCATTCGCTGCCCGCCGTTTCCTGATCAGTAAAGCCATTCGCTGCCAGAGTTTCTCACAGTTTTTTAAAGAGTGACAGAACATTGCGCGCTAGGATGATGTCGACGCCTAAACAACCAAAACAAAGCGGAGACTCACCTCTTACACCAGGAAGAATCCGCGTGTTTCGAGCGTTATCCGTTCTTTCATAATCCGTTGTTGAATTGCGATCGGCAGAAGCTTCTCCGGTTCGCGTCTCAAGGCTTTTTTTTTACAGCAGTCGCCCAAAACGATCTCCTAACACATGGATGTTCTGCTTCCTGATCACGTGACGTGTGACGTACGCGGATGAAGATCGGCTTTAGAGCTGAGATGTTTATTCTCACGGGGCGGGGGCTCGTCCGACGTCCACACAGTAAAAAAATGCAAATGTTGAACGGTTGGATTTAAAATGACGACTTTAGTCGCCAATGGCAGTGAATGAGTTAAATTCAAAACAGTCAGAAACCCTCAGCATACCATTGTGCTCTCCTTAAATAGGCTTTAATGTAGGTCTCATCCAGTTTGATGGCCTTTGAGCAATCGTCAATGGCCTGTTCTAGTTTCTTCAGCTTTCAAAGAAGGAGGAAAAAAAACTGGATGAATTAAAAACTCAGAGCAGAAGCAGGGAACATATGTCTAATGATGTGCAAAAAGGAAAAATGAGCAATGGTGAGAATACAGCAGATTGTTACATTTCCAGGTTTGAGCAAACGGAGAATGTGTGCAGGAAGAGAAATACTTTTGATTGATCAGACTTCTACCTTGGAACCAACTGTGGCTCTGTTACAGTACAGCTTGGCATTAGTCTTGATGTTGTTGGGGTCTATCGTTAGTGCTTCGGAGTAAAGTCCATAGGCAGCCTCAAAATTCCCATCCTTGAATGCTTTGTTTCCTTCCTCCTTCTTGGCTTTTAGTGCTTTGGCATTCTGGAGAAACAAATCACAACCTTAAAACCAACAACAAATCTCAGAAGTTTTACTATTTAATAGATTATTGATTCAAGTCTGGATTGATATTGTTATTCATAAAGATTCTGAATCAATCCTGTCCAAAAAACTTTAAACATCATCGCTGGACCAGGGTGCAAGCGGTGTGCTCCTACTCTGCAGCCTGCTGAAATACAGAGACGTGACTTTCTTATTACGCCGTGTGCGTTTGTTCCATTGTGTTTCAGAATGTTTAAATGGTGTTATCCTGTTTAGTTTGTGTTGTTTCATGCCAACCGCACCGTGCAGAATCGATTTAACACTAGAGGTGCTGAGAGAGAGAAAAAAAAAATCGATTCAAGTCTGAATCGGGATTCTTATTTATAAAGATTCAGAATCGATTCCAAGAACTCAAATATTTGGCATGTTACAGGTTTGAGACGCACTTTTGTGATCTTTGTTAGGAGAGTCAGTACTCCGATTACTTTCGTGGTCCCATAAATTGAGATGATTTATGTTTGAATCTGCTGATAAGAGGGCACTTGAATGTAATTTTTTCCATACTCAGAAATTTGAGATATTCTCATATTTATTTTCTAAGTTGATAAATGAGTACTCAGGATTACTCATGTAACTTGTTTCCACACATACTTGAAAAGTATTTGACCGTATTACTTTCAAAGCTACTGTTAGGTAACTACAGATTTGTTATATTTTACAAGGTAAGCAAAAATAAATGTTGCCTTTTGGTCAAAAGATTGTTTCTGTTTACAGTTTTAGAATCACTTTAGTTTACATTGTAAATTAGCATTTTGGAGCATGACCAGTTTAAAGTCTAATAAAAATGTCCCATAGCTTTAACTAACTTGTACAACAAAGTAGTTCATCCTGGAGCTGACACTCTTGGTTAATACTGATTGTGAATCGATTTAAATTGAGAACCGAGAATTGATTCTAAATCGAATCGGCACCCCAAGAATCGGAATCGAATCAAATCGTGAGTTGCTCCAAGATTCACATCCCTATTTAACACTAAAGGCTAGTTTATACTTCTGTCAGCATCAGTATGGAAACACACAACACAACACAACTATTTGTCGTTGCAAGGACTCTCCAACAGGCGGTTAAGGATGGACGGAGAATAGCACAACTTTCTACATATCAGTCAAAGCGATGGAGACCTTGTGGTCTACAGCCTGTGAACGGTCAGGACGCTGCTTCCTTTAACGTCGTTAACAGCACCACCATTCCCCCTCAAAAAAAGGTAACACAAGAGCCAAACATTTCTAGCAACAGACACAGAGCAGACTGTATTCCTTCAGTCACAGGTGTCTAAAGGTTTATATCATTGGACTTTCTTCGTGAGACATTCTTCAAAAATACGCAGCAAACTTTTAAAGGAAATTACAGGAAACGTGAGTTTAAACGTGGTAACTACATGGACAATTTTGTCTGTGTTTAAAAGTCTCTGAAACACATCTGTTGGGTATTTTTAAATGTACCTTTTTGAGACCTAAAAGATGCCCATTACACATCATGAATCTGTGTTGGCTGTTCATAAAAAGGTTGAGCAAAGATGTTAATTGAGAGAACTCTGTACCTCTGTAATTTGAGAAGGTCCGCCTTCTCCCCCCATCCATTTGGTGAATAAAGCCCCTGAAGAACTAGGAGCAGACGGGAGTGACGTGGGGGAAGCCTCGGAGGAGGTTTCTCTGCGTTAACTCTCCATGCATTTGGAGACTCAGGGTAAAATGTCTTCCTTGTTGTCATGTGCGTTTATTTCAGGTTCCAGGGTTATGGAGGTTAAGTATTATCTACCAGATAATTGCAGAATGCAGGTATACAGAGCAGGTGAGGATAAAGCTTTGAGGCTGAAGCAGAGTGGGGGCTGGTTGAGCCACACACATGGACATTACAAATAATCAAGTTACTCTCTCTCTCTCTATCAAAGGGTGTGTCGTCCTTTAAGGTAATATGGGATAAAATCAAATTACCTAACAAGTGGTGGAGAATGCGGGCACGGCAGAGCCGTCGATGGGAAGCTGGCTTCGGGGAGCCGTACAGGCGCCACTTACCTTACCAAAGCCAGGGGAACTAAAATTGTTTCACCGGCCGGCTTTTTAGCTTTGCAGGCAGATTCCCATTCAAGCTCTCGCCTTCCCGAACTCAGGACGAAAGTACCACGGAGAGTCAGTTAATTCATTAATTCATTACGCTAATTCATTAATTTGTGTCTGTTTCTTTAACCACTGGCAGTGTGGTTTAAGTTGATTGAGGTTGGCCAGTTGTGGCCGTGTGTGTGTGTGTGTGAACCTCTTGAGTGTATGAGAAAGTTGATGACCGGAAAAAGACGTGTGGAATTGTTTGGCTAAAATTGTTTTGAGTCTGTTTCTGGTAAGGGGAGACTGTGGATCAGCTCTGGTGAGCTCTGGAGAGCAGAGTTCCGGTGGGAGATCGCTTCGCAGTCTGGCAGCTGAATAGCACGCTGAGTGAGTACCTAAATTAAATTGCTCCTTTTTCCTAATAACTGGACGACAGTGATTTTACGCTGGTAGTGATTTTTTTTGCCATTCACGCACGAAAGACGTTTCGTGCCCTAGCAGAGGACTGGGCTGAGAGTCGCTGGACTTTGTCCTGGACTTTGTTTGTCTCTGAGGGAACAGAGTAAACGCGAGGGAGGTTGTAATTTGTCCATGTCAGCGAACATGGACCCCCCACGACGGACTGTGGGTTGTAATAGAGTTGAATGTGCAGACTCACTACGTAAGCTCACTGTTGCTGGAATTGTTAAAATATTTTATGGTGCGTACACTAAAATTAATCACCGTTATTTGGCTTAAAGTTGTCAAATCGGTCTAAATTTCCGGTCTATATTATGTGTGTTGTGATTTTTCTGGCGTCATGGGCTGCGTTCCATTTTGCCGGTTTCCGTGTTGTGTATCGTTGAAAGTTGACGCTGAGGACTGACATGTTAATTTCTGACAGAGTTTTGCTCCGTCTGTGTATGAGTAAAGGTTTTTGGGCCTAACCGGATCTGGTCTGATCTGGGGGGGTTGAGTCCATGTTCTGAATGTGTGTGAGTGAAAGCCTGCAGGTCCGTTTCTGTGTGTGTGTGTGTGTGTGTGTGTGTGTGTGTGTGTGTGTGTGTGTGTGTGTGTGTGTGTGTGTGTGTGTGTGTGTGTGTGTGTGTGTGTGTGTGTGTGTGTGTGTGTGTGTGTGTGTGTGTGTGTGTGTGTGTGTGTGTGTGTGTGTGAGAGAGACGTTTTGGGCCGAAGTTCTGAAGCCTGAATGTGTGTGAATGTGCCGAGATCTCTGAATGGATGGAAGGTCCGAATGCATGATAATGTGTGTGACTGAGGCTTTGAGCCTAGTTTGTTCTGTGTGAAACCTGCAGATTCTAGATAGTCTATGTTCTATGTTTCTGTTTTGTTCTGTGTTGTCTTGTCCTTTATTCTGTACATGTATGAATAAGACTAACATCCTGTGATGTGTAAGTGTGGGTCAGAAGGCTCAGGTGTGTGTGTGTGTATGTGTTTCCTAAGAGATGCTGGAGAAATAGAAGAAAGGAAAAGGAGGGGTGAAGGTTTGAGGGGGTGTATGAAGAGACAACGAAGTGTTATGGGGGATGGTTTTGATAAGGCTGCAGGCCACTAAATGTTTGATGGTTTGGTTAGGAAGAAATGAGAGGTTAGCAGAGAAGGTTAATGAAAAAAGCAGACAGATGGAGAAAAGACAGAATTAAAGAAATGGTTGAAGAAACAGAGAAAGCAAATAGAACATTTAAAGAAATGTTTGAGGAAGTGAGAAGGTTTATTTTTCAAAATTCTAATTAGAAATGAGCAAAAGTTTGTGAGTGAGGCTTCACAGGCTGAATGGTTGCCCAAATATGATGGAGATGATTCACGCGATTGCCTCAAATTAAATTAGATATTCTGGTCTACAGGCCTTTTATTATTTTATTAAAATAAATAAATACTCTTTCTAAAAGATCATGTAGTTAGACCTAAGTAGTTCCCCTAATCTTTTATTGATGGATTTGACTGACCCCAAATTACAGAATTAGAAGGGAAAATTCATGATTTTGTGTTTTAAGAGGCACATAACCTTATAACTAGCTTATGCCATTTTAAAATGACAGACTCTTTAGATTAGCTGTGTAGCAGCTACTCTGGATCCGAAGATACCTTTTGCTCATGAACTAAGATTAAAAATACAACTTTGACTCAAGATGGTCTCTATTTCACACGTGGTATGCTGTTCCTTTACTGGAATGTAAACTTTAGACAGTTCTATATAGATAGTTTAAACAGCCCCGAACTAAATATTTCAGCCTGGTGTAAGTGGTTTAATTTGAACATTCTGATTTTATGAGAATCTGATAGATGTAAGCTAGTGTTACCATGTTCGGTATTATTGTTTAGATTATGCAGTTTTGCTTTAGTGGGTTATGATCTTAGGTAAATAGAATTCTACACTATGCAGTAACAGTTTTTTATCTCAGCATTTTATCATATGACTAAATCATGTTAAACTTGGTGTTTCTGCCATAAGTCTGGACACAGGAGGGTGTTTAGATTTTTTATGAACCGTAAAAACTTCCCGTTAAATGTGTCTTATCGACCATTGATAGATTTAATTTAATAGCATGATTGAATCAACACGGTGCTAGATTTTTCCTGTATGCTATTTCTATGCAAATCTTGTTTGAAATGTAAACATCAACTCAGCCCCTGCAGACCATAATGCTAATCGTAGTATTTTATTTTACTCAACAGTAAGGCTGTTTTGTAACTATTTCAACATTTGAGCTATTACCATCATTTCTTTTCTGTTTGGGTTATAAGGTTTAATAAATCTGAGTGACTTCCTTTTGATTAACTTAGATCCTGTAAATGTGTGAGAACCCTACCTCCACAGGAGGGGGTGGTGTAACTGATAAAGTTTTGATTACCTTACAAGGTGGAGACGGGCTAGTTCATTTAAATTAGAATGCCTTTTGCCTGAATGCAAATGTGTGAGCCTAAGCAGCTAAATCAAGCTAGACTGGAAGTCTCTTGTGGCACCCTTTTGTGAAAAACCCTTTGAAGCCTCTGTGACGTGAGTGTGTTAACTCCGCCTTAGTGTGATAGAATCTCTGATAAACTCCTTTTTTAGACAAGCTAGTGTTAAAGAATGTGTATGTGTTTTATTTCATTTGTGAAAATTTAGGACAGACCATATCTGACTAGTTTCATGCTAAACCAGACATCAATGTTTATTAATTTAAACAATTAGGCAGCACAACTTTTGGGTACACTGTTTTCCTAAATGCAAATTGTTCCCTATGCAAAGACAGGTTGGGAGACTCCTTGATTTATGTCCTGCTGTGATGTGATGTGCAACTCGATTAACAGGTGATAAAGAACAGTGGCTGGCTGCATTGGTTCCTGCAGAAAACATCAGAGGACACAGATCGGACACAAGACGCTTTGTGCCCCATTGACCCTCAACAACCAGGAAGGTATTGTGATTGCAACACAAGATGGTTTGCTATGTCATGTCCTGATACTCTCCGAATGCAGGAATGGCAGACTCAGGAGAAGACTTCAGAGGATCTGAGTTCCTTTGGGCAAGCAGCTGTGGAAGTTGAACGCATATCTAACTGAATGCAAATTGGTCTGTGTCTGTGGCATCCTGCTGTGGGTCTTTGCAGCATTTGTGACTTGTAGGTGTGCTCAGAAGGAAGTGGAGCCTACAATCCAAGATGGAGGAAGCACGAAAGACATGGCTAAACTGCTGACTTGCAGTCTAAGACGGAAGTGATGTTGCGAGTCCCACATGCCAAAGACAGTGCCAAGTACGGGGTCAAAAGGTGAGCCACACTGGACTGGCTTGTGCGAGCAAAATCAGCCAGCCGACAGGAGCTGTGCTGCAGGTCAAAAAACTGTGGTCAGAAACAAGGGTCACACAAGGGTCAGGAGACTGACCCAACCTCTTTGCCCCACCCCTGGCTTGGAAAGATGGGATTGGAGGAGAACAGAGTGAAGACAAGCCCATCAGATCCAGAAGCCCTCTCGGGAACATTGGAGAGAAACTGAAGAATGCCGCAAAAGATGATGTAATGACCTGTGTTAAGAAGAATGCTGCATGTAGTGAAAATGACACCAAATGTTTTGTGTTGAGCTACAAAGTGTGTATCTGGTAAATGACCCCATGACCTTAAGCTGGTCCAGGAAGGGTATATAAGAACAGCTCTGAACAGCAGAAAAAGATTCGGAGATTCGACAGCAGCTGGGGCAGAGGACAAGAAGAGACAGAGCAGATTTGGAGGGGTCATCCCCCGTCCAAACCTGGATGGGGGATGACAGAGGACTCTTGGAAGAAAAGAGAGGTTCAGTTCTTGGGGAGATTCTGAGAAGACAGGAGCTTGTGTAAACTAACTCTTATTTAATCATTTTGAACTAATTCCTCCGTGGGGGATAGCAGTTGTTTTTTACTTTACCCATTTTTGTATTTTGATTTTGTAATAAACCTTTTTTGAAAAAGAAACATAATCCTGATTCTTTCAGGTTTTCTCTAAAGCTTCACGTTTGGAGCCCTGGCCATAAATTGCACAGAGGTAAGCATATCGATGATCGGTCTCTGAATTATCAGGACTTACTTTACAGTTTATAATAGAATAATATAAAGAAACCTTAAGATAAGGGAAGTTTTAACTTCCCCCTCCTTGCGAGTAACGAGTTGTCTTAAGGGCGATAAAAGCAGAATATTCGAGGTTATTTTGGCTCTGATTGCAGGTTGAAAAAGTCTCTAATCAGCTGGAAGGTTGGATTAATAAATAAATTGATAAACTTATGTTAGCCTGATCAACTAGCATAAATCATTTTATAGTTACCAACCTCCCACATAAGCTGTTAGAGGCGCAATTAATTCCGGGTAACCCAAACAATTGCTGAGAGGCTTGGCTTGCCTCCAGACTTCTCTCTAGTATCTTAACCAAAAGGTAACGAGTTTAAAAGAAGTGTAGTACTCTGGGGCTGGCTATTCGTGCAAGTCATTTCACCTTTAAAATAAAAGACAAGATTCTAATTAGATGGTCCAAACCAGGATCTAGTACAATTATACTCGCCGACATCCCCTCGAACCCTGATGGATGCACCGTCTCATAAGTTCTAACGGAACTGAGTTTTAAAGGAACCGGTAAATGGGACGGGCACGCGACAGTGACACAAACCACCGTCACCGGCTGAGCTAATGTTAAACCACAAACCAAGTGGATCAGTTAGCTGAAACCGGTACCAACCTGTGAGCTGATGTAAAACCACAAAACCCGCTGTGGGCCAGTCAGCTCTCTCAGGAAGTGACCTGCGTCGACACGTCAGCGGGACGACGCAAAGCTGAGAGCACAGTGTGACCGAGATATCACACCTGAACTGGAGATGAGGTGCAGAGGTCAAACACCAACTTCAGGAGGGAACCAGAACAGGTCAGCCAGCCACAGAAAACTCAAAACCTGTGACACCTGTTCAGTCCTACAAGCGATCGATTGCAGCACAGGAGGTAACGACGGATGTGGAGCAGAAGATCCACAAGTGTTTGATGACAAATGATATGGGTTACTTTAATAAAGCTAGGAACTCAAGGTTATTATGTAGGTTTTGGTGTCTAGATTATTCATTCCTAATTCCAGGTTTTAACTCTTGCTCTGGGTTTTGTTGACAGGATAATCATTGCTCAAAGGTAGCATTCAGGGGGATAAATTAATGAAGCTAGAAATACAGGATAAAATTGGGTTTGATGTCTGGTTTAATGTTGAACTAAAATCCGATTGATTAATTGGTCATTTCAAATTCCAGGTTAGGTGTCCTAATTTCATGTTAATGTTGTTTTATTGGTTTAATCTTTTATTGCTCAAAAAGTCACATCAGGAGGGAATGTTGGGTATTTTTATAAATGTACCTTTTTGAGACCTAAAAGATAATCTCTGTGTTGGCTGTTCATAAAAAGGTTGAGCAAAGATGTTAATTGAGAGAACTCTGTACCTCTGTAATTTGAGAAGGTCCGCCTTCTCCCCCCATCCATTTGGTGAATAAAGCCCCTGAAGAACTAGGAGCACACGGGAGTGACGTGGGGGAAGCCTCGGAGGAGGTTTCTCTGCGTTAAAGCCGGGCGTACACTGTGAGACTTTTTCACTCGCAGCGTTCAGCTTCAGCTCAAACTGTACGACTTCCTCGCAGAGCAGATCTCACGAGTCGTGTGCTCACACTGCACGACCCAGTTCTCGCATGCGACCTGACTGCTCACACTGTACGTCTGGTAGCAACACGTCGGCCCTAAAAATGTGCTAAAAATAGCCGTTTTTACTCAACACGTCAGACTTTTTTGTCTTGCCTGTTGTCCTTCGGGAGTGCTGCAGGAGGACACACAGGGATTTATGGGGGTTGGATGAGGAAAACGAAATAAAGAAAGTGAATCTGTGTTTTGTGATCAGTTTAATTTGGCATGAACACGACAAACACGCTTTCTTGACAATCTTTGAGAGTAAAAAAACGTGTAGAAACAAAAACGAACAGCGTGTGTTATTAGGGAAATAGCGAGCGACCGGCCGGTGTTGATGCAGGATTGCGCGCGCATGCGCCGTGAGCGGTTCTGATACTTTTTGGGTCGCAGCTGCTCGCAGCGCCGCTTCAACAGTGCGATACCCTCACGAGGGACGAGCGAAATATTAAACACACCAGAAATCCCTGCGACCTCACGACTGCTGATCGGCGGCTGGTCACGTGGTGTTAATCGCCTCTCGTAACCCCCTGTACACTACACGACCGCTCGGCGCAAAACTCGCCCCGATGTCGTGGATTCTCGCACGAGTGGAAAATCGGCTCAAAAAAGTGAAAAAGTCGCACAGTGTATGCCCGGCTTTACTCTCCATGCATTTGGAGACTCAGGGTAAAATGTCTTCCTTGTTGTCATGTGTGTTTATTTCAGGTTCCAGGGTTATGGAGGTTAAGTATTATCTACCAGATAATTGCAGAATGCAGGTATACAGAGCAGGTGAGGATAAAGCTTTGAGGCTGAAGCAGAGTGGGGGCTGGTTGAGCCACACACATGGACATTACAAATAATCAATTTACTCTCTCTCTCTCTATCAAAGGGTGTGTCGTCCTTTAAGGTAATATGGGATAAAATCAAATTACCTAACAACATCACATTGTAAACACACTAGAAACATGACTGCAATGATGGCAGGATACCCCAGAAAAGTGCTGTCCTTGCAGAAAATTGCTCAACATTGACGCACCAACAGAGAAGTAAAAAAAGAAAAACATCTGTCAATACATGTGTGTGTGTGTGTGCGCACGCACAAACTTTCTGACGGAGAAGTATAAACTAGCCATAATTAGCTACCGTTAGTCTTCGTGTTCAATGATAATGTTACTGGTTTATGTGAATACATGTTAAAGCCACACACACACACACAGTAAATCGATTTGAATTGAGACTCGATTCCACACACACACACACACACACACACACACACACACACACACACACACACACACACACACACACACACACACACACACACACACACACACACACACACACACACACACACACACACACACACACACACACACACACACACACACACACACACACACACACACACACACACACACACACACACACACACACACACACACACACACACACACACACACACACACACTAAATCGATTTGAATTGAGACTCGATTCTGAATCGAATCATCACTCTGCGGGTTGTTGAGTCATAACCCTACTATTCAATATAAAACAGACATTTATCAAATAAATAAATCATTCAACAGTTGGACCACTACCTAATTCTCATCAACTCACTCTGCAGGCGAGCCGGGCCTTGTCGTGGTCCGGAGCCATTCGCAGGGCCTGGACAAAGAACTGGACTGCCTTCTCTATACAGTCCTCGTAGTACAGACAGAGACCGCGAACATACAGAGCGTCTGCATTAGTGGGGTCCATTCGCAGGATGTCACTGAATTGAGGCAAACACATGAAGTTCTGTGATTTTCGATCTGCATTTAATTTAAATCTGATGGAGATTAAATCCAAAAACCTCTGAAGTACACATTTCTTAAGTGCTTTTCATTTCTCTTACATCAGGTTTCGATAACGCACTCCTACCTGGCTACAGACTGTGCCTCTGGGTATCGTCCCAGCAGGGCTAAACACTCGGCCTTCAGGATCTTAAACTTGTGACAAGCTGATGCACACTCCAAGGCACGGTCCATACAAAAGACAACCTGAGAACAAACCACAGCGTTCTTGTGTTTGGGCTGTCTCATGTTTCATTCTCAGACTCTACAACACAAGTCAAATGAATTTGCTTAAAGGCTAAAAGAGTAGTTCACCATTCTGAAGTCTCTCTTTTCAAACCCGATCTCTGCCATCCTCTCGTACTCCAGGATGGATTCTGCGTTCTTTAGCTGCAAACGGATCAGCAAAAATCTGGCATTTACCCACGAGGCCTTTCAGCAACACTGACGGCTTCTACAACAGAGGATAACCTAATCAGCTCTACAAATCAGAGGCTCACTCACCTCCTGCTGGGACTGACTGTTATCCGGCTCCAACTCCAGAACTCTCTGGAAACAGCGGCTGGCAGCCATAGCATTACCAAGACACAGGTGGCACTTGCCCTCTCGCAAATGTCCCTGTAGGAGAGATGCACGTCTGCCATCTTAAAGGATATTTCAGACATTTAGAATTGTATTCCTGCATAAATTCTACATAATGACCATCTGCACTGTTGTAGATCACTTCCTGAATAGCCTCACGTTAAAGAGTTTAGGTCCTCCACAGTTCCTGAACAGTCTCTGGTGATCTGACACCAAGCTCTAATGAAGAGACGCTCCTGGAGATCTGCATCGCTCCAGTTTATCATCTCAGCTGGTTCTGTTTACAAAAGCAGAACTTATGGCCCATGTTTACTCTCATCATCAATAGGTTTTCCTGCCGGAGCTCGGCAGTGACTCTCCACTAGGGTTGTCACGGTAACCGGTATAGCGGTAAACCCCGGTAAAAAAGTTGACAATAAAAATAACCGTCCAGTTTTTAAAAAACTATATTATCTCGGTGGGTTTACCGTGGCCGCGGTTTCGGCGCGATGACCCTTACCAGCCACCGTCGCTTCAGCTGAAGTTCCCGCTGCGCGCACACGCACTTTTTAATTTGCAACGGCACCAAAACTTTGAAGTTGAAATAATGGCCGAAGGAGGAGACGGCAGCGCCCAGGACATCCATCAGCCCTCAAAGAAGACTAAATCGGAAGTATGGGCATATTTGGGATTTCTGAAAAATGCTGAGGGACAGTTAATAGAAGACTGCTATCCCGTCTGCAGAACGTGCAGGAAACAAGTGTCTGCAAAAGGCAGCAACACTTAAAATCTCATGGCACATCTGCGTGACGATCACCCACGTCTCCACAGCCAGTGCAAGGTAAGATAACATTAGCATTTTAGCTTAAATGCATGACGCGAGGACTTTTGGCTGAGGGAGAATGCAACGAGTCACTATATACTGCAGCCGCAGCGTCCTCTGCCAGCATTTAAACCGTGTCACGGACACGCTGTTGCTGGATGAAGCATCTTATTTGTTGATGAAGAGAAATATACAATTAGTTCCTTGTCATGGATTTGTTTACTTATTCAATGCCATTTATACTTGAACATTTGGATTTGATTACATAGTGTAGTAGTTATTTTAGTAATTTGTTTAAAGTGGATATTTATTTTAAATACATATTTTTTAAGGTTGACTTGTACAGTGCTCAAGTCAAGTGTGGACTGGAGTTTTAGATTTTCATTTTGATAATGAAGAAAACAAGTATATGAGAAAACAAGTGGTGTTTCTTTGATTTGTTTACATATTGTTTATGTTTTGAATGTTTGGATTTGTAAAATTTAAACCTGCACTGACTACTGTAACAAGTTCCAGAAAAATAAGCTATTTGTTCCTTTACTTGTGAAAAGTTGCACTTTTGCTAAGGCTTTGTGTTATTTTAGGTTTAATAAACACTGTTAAACCTTTTCAGAACTATTTCAGTTTGTGTAGAACAGGACTATCAATGCTTTCTGAACATATGCAACACCGTTTAAAAAATACCGCGATAATACCGAAAACCGTGATAATTTTGGTCACAATAACCGTGAGGTTAAATTTTCATACCGTGACAACCCTACTCTCCACGTAATCATGACACCTCCCTCTGTTGCGCCAAGGCACAATATGCATTCACCTATTTTCACCTATCGCGGCCAGGTCTGGAACGCATCTACCGCGATAAACGAGGGATCACTGTACAGGAACTGATTTAGACTTGGGATTACACTACATCCAAGCACTACTATAAGCCACTGCTGCAAGGTGCAAGGACATGGCACACTGACCACAAAACTCACCGGTTATTGTCATTGTGGATATCTACTGTCACAATTATAGTAATTCATAATAGCCCCCAAGGATTTAGAGTAAATACAACATTAGCACTACCTTAGTAAGGCCTACAGGGGTACTTAGTTGTAATGTAGTCCCAAGTCTAAATCAGCTGCAAATCCTTTGTGGTATTATTTTTATTTGCAGTCAGTATGATTATTGAGGTTCACACCAAAGGCTAGCTGTTACCATTAACTCATTTATGCTAAGCTAAAGCTAACAGAATACCCACAGATTAGGTGAGTGTCTGGGCTGATTAAAAACTACTTTTTCTCCATTGATTCAACTCTGGAGAAGATGGCAACAGATGAAATGTATTTTAAGGAACGGCATCCCTTAGTCTGAACGCATCAAACATCTTTTACATTGGTGGGATTTAGCATAACATTTATGCTCATAAATACCCACTGAAATAAATGAAAGCTGAAGGTGGTGCAAAAGGGTTAGAAAGTGAAGCTACACAAACTCTTTAAGATGACAGAAAAACATTTTTGTCTTGGATGCTTGAACTAGCCATTAGCTCACCAGTCTAAGCCAGTCAGGAAGCCATCCACATCTCTCCATACCCACTGCAGAATCACATTTGAACTCAACAAAAACTCAGACAGTAACTTCTTATGCACACCATACCTTCACAAAGGCGTTATCTAGTCGTACTGCTTGCTGGGAGTCCTCTAAAGCCTCTCTGAACCGACACAGCATCATTAGTGTGGCTGCCCGGTTTCCATAGTAACTTGCATTCTTCGGACACAGATCTGACAAAAAAAAGATTTTGTTTTTGAGTACATGTTTCTCACGTAGAAAACCCCACCAACGATAGACGATGGATGAAAGAATCTTATAAAACAAATGTTTACCGATAGCCTTGGAGTAATAACTGAATGCCTCTGTGTAATCCTTCTGGATATAAAAGACATTGCCTTGCTCTTTAAAGCCCTCCGCTTCCCTGTGGAGAGAAGGCAGAGAAACAGAAAAATCAGAGCAAAATGAGATCAGGTCAGTAATGATTTTTTGCCAAGAATTAGGTCAACGAGTAGTCATCTCAAAGCACATGCCATGTATTTCCATTGGGGTTAAAGGCTGTAAAGCCATCCATTCAGCTCCCTAAACCACTTGTTCACAGTGAGGCTGATAGTTCCTGATTTTATTCCGAAACTTGAAATTTTCTTGAAGCATTTGTGCCATTTAGTTTGGAGAAGGGCTGGGTGACATGGCCTAAATGTATTGAGCAGTTTGCCTTGATGACCATAACTGGATGATAATTGCCAGTACAGCAACAGTTGACTGTTCCCTTTAACAACATTTTGGATTTGCTCGCTGTCACCAGCTTCTGCTGTCCACTACCTGCTGCCCTTGCCCACAGCTCCAACATTTGAGTCATCTGTGTCCTCACCATCTCCCTTCAGGTTACAGACCAAATGTTGTGGGGTCACGTGACTTTGTGTAGGTTGTTGCCAACCTACACACATCTTTTCATTGTTTATTATCAAATTTATTGACATGGGAATAATTCTCGATAAGAGTGAGACATTTCGATAACGATACATTTTCGATTTATTGCCCAGCTCTACATATTACCACCCAATAACCTGAGAAAGAGAATTGGAAGAAAGCCTGAAATGAAATATAAAATGACTGGTACTATGAGCAACTTGCTTTTAATGGATTCATCTATAGCAGAGGAACTTATTTAGCTAATTTGCAACAAATATGATAAATAAACTGAAAGAGTTCCATAGTTTTTGAAATTTTGTTGTATGGAACAACACAATATATTGTTTTTGCAAAACACTTAATAAGTAGCATGACTTCTAAGTTTAAGAGTCAAGCCAATTTTACAGCCAACAATTTACCCATAACGTTTGCAGATCTCTACAGAAAATGTTTAACTGATCTAAAACCACAAACAAGAGTTGTTTAAAACTCCATTTTTACACTCTTAAGCAAGAGTGTTGATTAGTTCCTAACCACACCTCTACTGCAGTTTGTGAATGGCGTAATGTTGTCCTTGTAGACCAGGTTGTTGATGAAGACACACTTTGTGTTAATCTCGATGCTTTTACTAATGTGAGACCTAGCAAGAACACGGATGAATTAAATCTTTATAAAATGGAATAGGTTAAGAATAGTTCAAAACATTTGTCTTTAACCACATTGTTTGGCTTTTATACTGATCTAATGGTAACTAGAACCAAACCCTCACTGACCAACTAAATGGCAGACTTGTCAGCATCTTTTAGAAAACTTGATCAAATTCAGCAGCGGGTCTCAATCCTGGTCCTGGAGGAGCTTTAGGTTTAACCCTCTTTAAACACACCTCATTTCAAACAGCAGGTAATTAAAAGGCTTCTGCAGAGCTTGATGACCTGCTACACAGGTGATTTGACCACTGAATCAAGTGTGTTGGAGCAAAGAAACAACAAAAACATGCTGGATACCGGCCGCCCAGGACCAGGATTGAGAACCACTGAAATACAGTGAACACTACTAAAGCAGAGGCAATCTAGATTCTGCTAAAGCAATCAACTTATCAGATTCAGGGAGTTTGACTCCATGTTATACGAGATGTTTTAGATGGCTCAAAAATACACAAATTTTCTGATCTTCACTACACTAAAATTAACAAAAATGTTAATTCCTCTTTGATAAAACATTGTGTTTTATGATTTGTTGAGGGGATGCAAATAAAGACATAACAGAACATTTTTTACATTAAAAAATAAATAAACTCCTCCCAGTACTTCTAACTTGTTTATTTTTGCCCATTTCTCAAAGTTTGGACGCCACTGATTTGACTGTCCTGAAATACTAAACTAAATATTTTTCAACAACCACTAGACTTTAAACTTTAGATTAGCTCCTATACAATACACCAGTTATGCTTTAATGACTCACCCTCTGAAACCTAAAATTGACTAGAATATCTTCTTTGCAATAAACTTGCTTTGATACATCTGGATGGTAACTAGAGGCTTGCTGAAATACTCCTAACCAATGCAGAACATCTGTGATTATAAGGGACAGTGCCTATGATGCATTCCAGAATTTTCCGGTCTGCGTTAGCTAAACATAGAAAGAGTCTAAACAGCAGCCAACCCGTAGCTATTTTGTGAAGCAGGCAAGGCGAGCAGAGCCAGGAACATATGACACCATGCTCCGTGCAACTGCCATGACTTTATTTGGATGGCTTAAAGCTTAACATCACGACCACACAGTCAGAGAACAGTGTCATTCTACAAAATCAGAAAATACGGCAGTGGTGCAAAGGCCCAAACAACGCTAATGCTATGAAACTAAAAACAAATTCAGATCCTCGTTTAAATCCGGCAGAGAAGTTAGAGAAGGGGAACAAGGCTATCGAACGTTAGCTTACAGTTAGCAATAGCGCTAGTTAGCATTTAAGTGCGACAAGAAAACTCCGATGACAAGGCAGTTAAAACACACGTTGGACTAACAAGTTATTTGTGTATCCGATAACCATTGACAACAAGGCATTGCCATTTTCAAACCTTTCTATATCCTCGTCAGTGATGAGCAGCTCCATGTCAGGCTCCGCGTTCGAAGAATCACAGCTGTCTGTCGCCATTTTACCGTCAATGAGAATGGGCGGGGTTTCATACTGCGGTGTTACGTACGCTGTAAACAGGAAGTCACAGTTTTGCAAGAAAACGTCATTACGTACACTGTAAACAGGAACTAGCCCGCTAGGTAAGAAAGCAGTCTGTCAGTAATGTTAAATAATACTACAAACCATTAACTTTTGCCAAGAACGAAGCTAGTCAGTGTATGTTTGACGACACGTACTAAGTGTTGTCAGGTTTGGCTTACGTCCATTGCGTACACGGTGACATTGTAGTTGCGTATCTTATGAAAGCTAATGCTAGGCTAAAAGCCCACAAAGAAAAGCAACTATGTTCATTCTAAAATTATTTACTCAATTTTGAAATTAATAGTTAATATAATAAAAACAAAAGAGTTTTATTTAGCCAACGCAATGGAAAGGCTAGGAGATGGAAAGGCAGAGAGCTAGCAGGATGTTTTTCTCATTTTGTGACTCAGCTGTGTCTGGTTTTGTTCGTTACACCTTGGAAGCATTTTATGTTTGATTTGGGTCGACTATGTTGCATTTGGGGAATGCTGGATCCTGTCAGTCTGCTGTTCATTTTCACTTGCTTTTTTATTTTTATTTAATTTTTATGTATTTTTACACTCATTAAAAGACTTGCTGTTGAAATAAAAGAAAACAAACAGGAACACCTCTATGGCTAATATATCAGCACTTCTGCAGAAACGTCGTTTGGAGCCTCCAATAAGGAGGAGGTCAAAATTATTCAGGAAGTGTCCCAATTGAAAACAATATCTGACCTCTTTGCTTTATTCATGTTATGAAACAATTATCATTGAGCAAAGGTATTGAAAATAAACACTAATTGTTCTTTAATCAACATTCTGACAAAACCGCCTTAGTGTTTACGGTCTTCAGACATGGGAAAGAGTTTTTACAACTCCGTTGCTCACAGATGCCAGATCACTGCATGACACTGATGCTGTTAATACTTATAATGTTTATAAAATAAATTAAAATCACACTGCGACTGATAATAAATTTATTCATGTCATTTATGACATTTACTCTTTTCTCTACAGTTTTAATGTTAACTGGCTCAGCAGGGTTTAATCTGTTTGTTTTATTCCTTCAACAGATTTTCCTACTAGGGACTAGGACGTCATCATGGGAAAAAGCTGTAAAGTAGTTGTGTGTGGTCAGGCTGGAGTTGGTAAAACAGCTGTACTGGAACAGCTGCTCTATGCCAATCATGTTGCAGGTATGTCACCAGGCTTCTGTAAAAACTGAACAAAGATGATCAAAATTGTCTGAGAAAAAGCTGTTTCTGCGTCATTTCATACAATAATATGCTTCTGCAACAGACTACAGCTCAGAAAATAGCACTCATTGATACAGACTGGTAGAAAAGAGGAAAAATATTCAGTATGGCAGGCTGTCTCTGTCTGTGAAATAATGTAATAAAGCTTGACACAAATGTTGGAGCTACTTGGGTTACTTACAATTGATGGTTATTTATAAGGTTTAGTTGTTGGTTAAGGATATTTTTATTTTTGCTTGTTTTGCCTGTGAGAACCAGCCAGGAAGAACAGAGGTGTTTTATTTTCTAGAAACGTATGGACTAGAGTTGGACCAGCATGCACTGGGGTGTTTTTTTTTTTTTTTTTTTTACCAGAGCAGGAGAAGCAGCAGGAAATGGAGTTGTGTATCATACTTGCCAAGTTGGATGAACACACACCGCCCCCTGTGGCCAGAATACTGCATTTACAACTTCTGAGTGCCACAGACCCTAGAAAAATTTTGAGTTTACATGCCTGGCTCTGCAATCTGGTTCCAGCACGTTTCCTGCTTGTTTTAGACCATGAACACAGCTGATTTGTTTAGTTTAATAGTGAATCGCTTCTGTAGACACTAAAAGTGGTTTTCCAGGAGCACTACTCGGATTAACTCGGACCGATGCAGCTCAGCCCCAAAACTGTTTCCAAGGGCACGGTTCGGTATTTCACTCTACTATCTCCCCTATTTTTAGTCCCTGCTCTGTTGAGGTACCTGGCAAGGTACCTGGCAAGGCTGAGTCAGGCCATCATCGTGATTCTGGCCGCTGATTGGCTAGGGGGAAAAGTCACTGGTTGCTCTGAAGTTTTTTGCCTTACGTTTCACTGCCTGCAGCCATTCCCTGGTTCGGAGTCTGACAAAAAGCGACAAAAATTAAATTAAAATTCTATGACCTAGTGGACTACAATATTTCTAAATTTATGAATAATGCAAAAAAAAACCCTTCCTAAAAATTTACTTGATTTATAAAAAGACAGAGTAAATATGAACTAAAAGGACATGAATTATTTACAATACCTAAGCGTAGACTAATTATAAAGGAGCGCTGTGTCTATATATGGAGTTAAAATATGGAATAAGCTAGATAATGTAATCAAAGATGCGAAAACGATATTTACTTTAAAAAAACGAATTAAAAATGAAATACTGGAATCATATACTTGATTAAGGTGTTAAAAGACAAACACACAGCAAGGAGATATGTTTCACTTGTACTTTTACCACAGATAATAACAGACACTAAAGGGGTGCTAAAAGCGAGCAAGGCAGTTTTGGCTTGCTTTTAGCACCCCTTAGTGTCCGTTTGTAGAACCAAAACCAAAGTCTATCTTTTTGCTGTGCCTTCGTCTTTGTAACACCTTAATCTAACAGCTGAAACGTCTCCCCAGCCTTCATTAGTGTCAACAAGAGTGATTCATCACTAAATTAAACAAATCAGCTGTGTTCATGATCTAAAACATGCAGGTAACATGCTGGAAGCAGACTGCAGCGCCAGGTATGTCAGCTAAATTTTTTTTCCTCCCAACAGAGCAGCCCACCAGTCTGAAGTTGCAAGTGGAATATTCTGGCCACAGGGGCAATGGGGCTGGGTGGCCTTTCATCAACTCTGTCAAGTAGCTCAACCAGTTGAGTGGGTTGTCCAGTAATCGAAAGGTTACAGGTTCGATCCCGGCTCCGGACAGAGAATTCTGCTGTTGTGTCCTTGGGCAAGACACTTAACCCACGTTGCCCCACGGTGGTGGTCGGAGGGACCGGTGGCGCCTGTGCTCGGCAGCCTCGCCTCTGTCAGTGCGCCCCAGGGCAGCTGTGGCTACATCGTAGCTCATCAGTGTGTGAATGTGTGTGTGAATGGATGAATGATGCACTGTAGTGTAAAGCGCCTCGGAGTCCTTACTCTGAGAGGCGCTATACAAGTGCGGGTCATCTATCATTTAAGGGTCATTTTAGCAAATACTGAGAAATCAAGAAAATGATTTAAAAATAGGAAGGAGTTGCAAAGTATCCCTAAACATCATGTTCAACCAAATATTCCTGAATTGTGTCTAAACTGTTACAGGTTCAGAGCCCATGGAGACCCTGGAGGACATTTACATAGGCTCCATAGAGACGGACCGGGGCACCCGAGAGCAGGTCCGCTTCTACGACACCCGAGGCCTCCGGGATGGGATGGAGTTTCCTCGACACTACTACACGTTTGCTGATGGATTTGTACTCGTCTACAGCATAGACAGCAAAGAATCCTTTAAGCGAATGGAGGCCCTGAAGAAAGATATCGATCGTCACAGAGACAAGAAGGAGGTGAGAACCGCTGAGTGCCTATGTGAGGTTTTATTAAAATATTACGTGTTATTCATCATAACAATAAAAATCTTATTAGTTTGTTGTTTTTGAGGTCAGGTAACATCAGCACACTCTCAGAGGCTTTTACAGATTCATGCAACACAAACTGGGTGCTTTCAGTCTGCTATTAGTTGTTGGTGTTTAAACAGAGCAGCAGATGTTGATTATTCAGATGAGATTCATACATAATTTATTTGCACTTACATCCACCCATTGGTCACAGCAACATATGTGGTGAAGCACACTGTGGTCCTCGATGTGAATAATCCTGCAGCTGTTACAGGTGTGGCGCTAACTCTGTGATCCTGACCGACAGGTGACCATCATCGTTTTGGGCAACAAGCTGGACAAGCAGGATGAGAGGAGGATCGATTCGAACTACGCTCAGAACTGGGCGAAGAACGAGAAGGTGCGTCTGTGGGAGGTGTCGGTGGTGGATCGACACTCGCTCATCGAACCCTTCGTCCACCTGGCCAGTAAAATGACCCAGCCACAGAGCAAGTCCACCTTCCCTCTCAGCCGCAACAAGAACAAGGGAAGTGTTTCTCTAGACAGCTAAGGTAACACTGAAGTAACAGGAGCAGGAGTTCTCCTTTCAGGAAGCAGGCCACATAAAACCTTTGAGTTTAGAGGAACTCTGTGTTTTCTGTTCCAGAATGAGCTCTAATTGGATCTCTACGTCCATCTCCATGGTAACAGACTCCTGTGAACTAAAGCGGCTCGCTGGCAGGCTTTCTTTAGGACAGCCCGAGTTTCTACCAGACCCCTCCAATCTGATTTTCTATTTTTAAGCAATTCAATGAAAATGAAAGAAGAATTCAGTTGGGAAAGGATTATTGGAAGTTTTCTTATTCCTAGATGATCTTTCAGTTGATTCACTCATTCATATCAGTAACCTTCTCCAGCCAGACATCCAAAATAACACACTTTCTGTTGGCTGACCACAGCTAAACCATTTTTAAAATCTGCATTTTAAATGTTCTTATTCATATTATTGTGGTTTACAAACCAGTGACTCCAATATGTATGAATGAATGAATAATAAATAAGTAGGTGAAATTAGGATCAGGGTCACTCAAAAACAGATGAAGAGAAAGAACATTTTTACTTTGGACTTTTGGGACTTGTAGAGGAAGAAATGTGCTGCATGATGGAGTAGATGGTAGCACTGCTGCCTCACAGGGGGAAGTCCGTATGTTTAAATCCCAGCTGTATTCTGTTTCTCCACATGTTGAACACAAACTGTAAATAACTCCTCTTGATCCCTAGTCATTTAGGCTGTTGCCTCAGATGATTTATTGTGTTTTGCATGTGTGCTGAAGATTTATGATGAAGGATTTAAGGCAGATCTGAGTTCTGCTGTAGATGCTGCTGCAGGACTGAGGACCAACCTTCTGACTGATCCCAGAAATCGTGTATAACCAGTCAAAGCACACCCAGAGCCCTCTGTTACTAGTACTGGCCCTTTGCACGTGACGTCACGCCACTCATGTGGCCGCCCCCTTCGCCAAGATGGACGGCAAAAAGACCGTTTACACCCGTAGAAACTCCAGTGAAGGTCATCAAAACAAGCCAGTTTGTAGCCTTTTATGGCTTTTATTGAGCTGATTTGACAGTAAAATGGTTTTAGCTTGCTGCGTGGTCGGCTGCACTAACAGACGAGGACGTAAACTCAACTTGTTTTTTATTTTTAATAACTTTGATGGAGACTGAGGACGGAGATGAACTGCAGCATCAATCAAGCGGACTAGCAGGCCTCAGATTAGCAGCGAACATGTTTTTACTGGGTAAGATTAACGTTCATTTATTTCACGAGGAAGACGAGGACAGGGATACATGTGATGTGTTTATACTAGTTATTGATAATCCTGATGGATGGATATTTCACCACGGAGGCTGCGCTCCGTCCACTGTAGTGTAAAGCGAGACAATTATTAACAATATCAAAGCTCCGATGTATGATTACGTGTGTTAAAATGACATTATTTATTTATATGAGCGTCGGCGTTCAGAGATCTTCTCATTCCGGTGTGAGAGCAGCAGCTGGACCCGGTAACACCACCAGCAACAGAAGCTGGTAGGGATCCGGACTTTTTAACAATCAGCTTTGGTGTGAAGTGAAACGCTGTTTATAACATAAAGTTATAAATCCAGAGGGGTGAATTTAGACAAAGTCAGCAACATGTTTACATCGGTGAACAGCTGCAGAGAGAAGTAAGCTAACGTTGGTAAGCTAGTTAGCATACCGCTCTCTATGTGCCCCCGCTAGATGCGCTACTTCTTCTGATAACTGAACTGGGCATGAACTAGTGGAAGGAATGCTGGAGGAGTTTTGTTCTTGTTTTGATCGCAAAAACAGTTTCAGGCTCTACTTTTCATCGTGTTGCTCACTGTTTACATGCTTTTGCCGTCCACCATGGTGGACCCACGTGATTAGGTGACATCGGTGCAAAGGGTCAATAATGGGTAGGCGGGGGGCACGCTGTGAGGTTTGCTTCCTGTTGCTACTTTTAAAAGGATATTTTTACATTTCTCTCACAATCCACCCTCTAATTTATCACCTTTCCACCAATACGTTACTACAGTTAACATTTAATCAGCTTCAGGCTGACCTACCACAATAACCTTAAGTGTTTCACAAACACCTAAAGTCATTCAGTAGTGAACAAAGTGCAGAGGACAACACGCACAATCGTATTATTCATAGGACTTCCTGCTACAGCAGGGTAATGTGTGTTTTAAAGCTATTCTCCACTGGTGCCTCAGCGATGGTGACAATACTCACATTTGACTGAACTTGTAGAAACCAGTTGATCCAGAACTGACAACACAGAGTTTCCTTAACGTAAGTTAACTCTGAATCTCCTCTCTGCTTTATTTTGATCATTTGGAGAGGTTTTCCTGAGAGAAAGGCCCAACGATCGTGTGAATATTTATACCCAATTACAGTCCGTTTTCATAGAAGTCTGTATTTTATGATTTTCTTGAATACATCCTTAATCATCACACTAAATGTTTGTTACACCAGGGAAGGAATGGAACGCTGCTTCCTGTTATAAATGTGGTTACACTGTTTTATTTACAACATAAGCAGCTTTCTCTGAAGTGGACCGTGAACTGTGTGCCTCACACCTACAATCAGCTTCTTCATTTCGTTTTCCTGTCACAAAGTTCACAGTTTTTGCTCACAGAAAAGGGAAGAAGGAAAACGGAATCTTGCACATTTGTACACTGGCTTGAGTTTTATATAAGGCGACACTAAAAATGAGCACAAACTGAATTAGATGGTTCAGATTTATCTTATTGTGAAGGGAACCGTGACTGAAGGAGTTTTGTTGATGTTCAGTCTCTTGTGCGTGTGTGTGTGTGTGTGTGTGTGTGTGTGTGTGTGTGTGTGTGTGTGTGTGTGTGTGTGTGTGTGTGTGTGTGTGTGTGTGTGCACGCGTTCGTATTGCTTATTGGTCAGGCGTGTTATGTGTAGCCTATCGATGGACATTCCCACCACATGGAGCTGTCGGTATGGAGGAGATGTTTCTGCAAGCTCGGGTGTTGCTTTTCATGGCTGTTCACAACAAAGTCATGGGCACAAAACAAGAGCATCCATTAGTCACTGCTGATGAGCAGAAAAACAGGAGGAAGAGGAAAATTCTTCATCAAGATTTCACATCTGAGCAGATTTGGGTTTTCGTTTCATTCTAAGTGGAATATTTAAAATCTTAAAGACGTACTTGTTTGTTGACTCTATATTTTACGCAGCTTTGTTAGTTAATTTTAAGCTTTTGTGTACCATGATTTTAAAATTGTTTGTAAACAAATTAAAGCCTTTATTGTGCCTGACTGTCCATCTAATGTGTGTCTTTCAGTGCCCCCCCCCCCCCCCCCCCCAAAAAAAAAAAACCTCACTGAATTCTTTCTGTGGGTCAAACTGGTAATTAAATAGTTATTTTGCATCATCTCACAAAAATGGTCCTGGGTTTGATTCCCAGCAGATCTCTTAGTGGTTCCGCATTTACACACGTGTTAGGTGACTTACTGGACTTCAGGTGTGAGGATGAATAACTTGCTATTGGACACGGAGATAAACTTAACCAGGTGTACCCCATCTGGAGATGGACATCCGCCTTTTCTGTTTCAGATCCTGATGCAGGTTTGTTTACATTTCCAATTTAACTTTAGATTTAGTGTTATGTTTTTGTTTACTCTCTGGATTATTATTTATGTAGCAGCAGCACTTCTTTTTAATTAATCTTACATCGAATCAAAGCCTGATATAAAGCATATAAGGATGCCGCATCTGAGAAATGACCATCTCTCCTAAATCTCCAGAATCTCCTGCATTGTGCTGCCAGATGTGTTCCAGGAACAGTCGAGAGACTAGAACCTGCCTGGCAGCTCTTGGATCACAGTCATGTTGTGCTGAGGAAGTGTGCATAAGGTTTTGCGTGCGTGGTACACAAGTGTGCAAATAATTTCTGAATTGGGACAGGGAGCAGATTGCGTCATCGAACGCAACGCACGGCAGGATGCTGGTGGCTTTGCCACTTTTAGAAAACCCTTAACAACTTTCGAACGAACAGTTATTTGAAGTAAATTTACATTAATTGCTGCTTTGTCTAAAACATTCAGAGTATCAATTAATCATCCTAAAATGAACTACTTTCATTTGAAAATACATATTTTCAGAAAGGCACTTGAGCCTTTTCTCTCACAGCAATGGACTGTGGGTAATGCATTTCACCCAAGTTCGCATCGATGCGAACTTGGGTGAAATGCAGATAAAGGGTCCAAAAGGGGCATGATCAACTTCCGCACTTGGGAACTGGGACACCCTGTGCACCCACACCCCGGGCCAGAATCGTGAAATCGAAGGGCACAAGTGTGTAAGTGCCACCACCAGCATGTTTTCTACGTCTCTGCACAAACACACCTGGTTTGAATCTGTGGGTGACTAACTGACTTCTGACAACCTGCTGAAGAGTTGTGTGAGGGTGTGTTGGAGCAAGGAAACAACTAAAACATACAGGCCGTCCAGGACCTGGACTGAATAATCCTGTGCTAGAACGGCCAGCTCCTGGCTAAGGAATTGAGTAACTTACTTTTGTGCTTCTCACACATCTAGCTGTGCTTCTTATTCTTCAGATGCTTAACGTTTATACTCCATATGAAGGTGAGCAGGCCGAGTAGTGAGTCAGGCTTTCCGAGTTATGAGACTGCCAGTGAACAATCACAGATTGGGTTAACCTAACACAGCATCAATGGCGTTCTGTTTTATAATTGGACTGGTGGATGAACTTCTGAGCCACTGATCACCTCCATCCCACAACTGGTAAAAAGCTGAGGAGCTCTCCGGTATCACAAACTACATGGTAAATCAAAGGGGTGTTTTAGTCTTTTACATACATTATTTTACTTTTCCATGCTCTTGAGTTTAAAAAGGGAAAATTGGGTTAACAAAAGCAATTCCAGTCCTGAGTATTTACTCACAACTGAAGGTTGCAGTGAGGAAGAACAAGTTATTCTCCCTCTTGAAACTTCAGTTTCCAGCTGACACCTCGGTTCGGCCAAATTGGGAAAGAAGCCTTTTTGAAACAACCTCCTTTGACCTTAAGTCTAAACCTTGCCACAATGCTGCAAGCGATTACAGACACAACAGCTCTTTTGAGAGCTACTTCACACCTAATCTGCAGACCCCGGGCTGCATCTCATGGCCAAGAAGCTGAACTCAGAGGAAGCTACCAATCTCTTGAGTTTTGTGGTTTCGACGTCCGGTGACCTCACCACTGTGACCGCAACCCTCCAGACCGCCAGGAGCAACTCATACAAGGGTATCGTAGACCTGCATACTGGTGTCTGATGCCGTTCTAAACAGTTTATAGCAGACCAAATTCTTTTCCACTCAGAACTTACAGTTTCTTCCAGATACAAAGGTTCTGATAAACACCACATTCCACCATCACCACATCACCACATAAACATTATTCATAGCTTGTCATGTATTATAATTAGTCTAGAAAATAAAGTTTATTTTAATTTTATACTTGACTCTGTCTGAATTAATATGAAGTGTGTTTATGGTCCCTGAATAAGCAAAGACTCCTAAATTCTTCTGGTTAAACATTCAAAGATAAACCAGGTTGATATTCTATATTTACATAGAATGATCACATCTTATTGGTCATAATTTAACCCCCCAATTTCACTACAAATGGGGGTGCTGGTAGATCTGCTCCATGACAGCTTTGGCTGGTGTCTCCTTGTCACTTGGTGCCCTTACACACATTGTGGAAGCTTTTAACTGATTGGCAAAACAACCTGAATGCACTGATGGGTTCAGTTGAAATGTTTACTTTGTAAAGCGCCTTGAGATGACTCTGGTTATGGTTTGGTGCTATATAAATTAACTGAATTGAATCAACTTGTCTCTGCGTCAGAGTCTCTTAAAGATGGAATATGGAACATTTTAATATAAAGCATTTTATTAAACATTAATACCTCCACAGGGCGTTCAGAGGTGAGCAGAATGAATGTACAGTTTTTACTTTAAAAGCTATATTTAAAAAAAATAAATGATAAAGTTTTCATTTTGCCGGGCACAACACTGGGTTTATGTCACTAGAGCCCCCCCCCCCCCCCCCCCCCACACACACACACACACATTAACGACATTCTTTTATTAATGTATGAATGTTCAGCTGAACAAATGCGACATTTAACCTGCTGAAAATAGTATGAATGATTTAAAAATAAACAAAATTCTGATGGATGAAACTAGGAAATGAGAAGAACATGGACCAACATCTGTTTTCTTTCTGGCTCCATGATGTATCAGTGGAATAATTTCACTTCAAAAGATGTACTATTTGGCAGAAACTCACCCGGTTGACAGATGGAGACGCTCCTCCATTTAAACACGGTTTGGCACTTCACTGCCGAGCGAAACAGCAGCTGTATCAGTCACGTGACTACTTCCTAAATGATAGGTGCACCCACACGGGGTCTCGCTCTGTGAGCTAGATTTATACGCCGACGCATCAGTGTTGCTGGACCCATTACTAGAAATTATCCCTTACCCTGTACGATTTGTCACTAGACATGGTGCTGGTTGCTCACTTAATGTGGCAGCAGAGAACCAACATGCTGACGGCTGGAAAATGGTTTCTGTTGTTGCAGCTACCACCTCTAAACACTAGATGTCGCCAGAATGTCCGTGTTCCATATTCAACCTTTATGGTTGTGGTGTGGAGGAACACAGAGACGACACACATTAAGTCTGATCACATCCACAGCCATTTCGCCCAGCCCTACTCCAAGTGAGTCAGCACAACACATCCCAACCAAGTCCAGTAGAAACAAAGCCAGGTCAACATCATTATGTGTTTTTGTAGCCTCCTTCAGCTCCCTCAAACTAGTGTAGGCCACACTGATTTTCACTCTGTTTTTAGCTTTTTGCTTCACCTCCAAAGACTCTGGCTCTGCTATGATGCCAACAGAAAAGGCAAACTTCTTTTTTGTTCTTCTTGTGCTTTTTATTGACGATATGTGAACTGAAAATGCTAAGTGCTAGCATTACAGCTAACAGCCATAAAGCAGGTAAAGTGGTCACCTACCCGCTCTACAAAATTATCTTGTGTGGTTTTTGGTCAGAAGAAAGGTGCAAAGTGGTGTCAAATAGGGAACTGGACAAGTTTCCAACCTAATTATCGCTGAGATCAACGTTAACGCTCTAGCTTAAAGTTTAAAAACTATCTAGTTGAAAATATCAAGGTCTTGTTCACAAGTGAGGGGATGAGGAGGGAGTGGGCCGATTGGGACAGCATCTGCATTTGGACACCAAACTGGATTGTTGTAAAAAGGGAGCTAAACTAGACAGCAAAGGCCAAAATTTACTGGTTGATCTATGTTTCAATCACCATGAGGTTAAAGTAACAGTGTGTATTTTTCCTGGCAACAGGGGGCAGTAGAAAAGTCCTGGGGAGTGCAAACTTTAGCAAAATAACAAACACATCAGACTTCCTTTCATCACTGGCAACAAGTGAAGAGGTAAATGTGTAAAAAAACAAAATTTAAGAATGATGCAAATTTTGTACCGGTTGTTACAAATCAGTAAATGCATTTTGGCCTCATGGGATCCCGTAGAAGGAAACATGGCATCTAATATGGCGTCGCCCAGAGACTTAGACCTGACTTTTATGGTTATATATTCCAAAGCCACCAATATTTCTCAACAACTGAGCATCATTTTTTCAACATGGATATTTCTCGAAATTAATGGTAAAAACTACACATAGTCTCTTTAAGGCACAAGACTATAGTTACATACAGCTGAAATGTGTTTCCTTCACAGCTGTGGCCTAGAGTGGAGCCTGAGTGAAGTTTTGATGCCTTCACCTGTCAGGAGGAACCAGCTGAGGTTAGGATGTTGCATGCCTTCTGCTAGCTAGATAAGTAGTTGACAACAACACAGGTACAAGTATCTGTAAACATTTAATAGCAACAAATGCTATTTTGATTGAAAGAAATTGGTGCCCTCTGCAGTATTTTTGATTTAGTTTCTACTGAAGTATCTTTTAATACCATCAGATTATGACTAGGATCACAAAGACATAACAGGCCACTAAATGGGTGTTTGGCAAGGAAATACTTTAGACCCTTTTAATTAATTCAATATGTTGGTTTATGGGGAGAAAATCCGATATTGCATCAGAGGAAATGATCTGCTGGTTCTGCATGAGGCGTGTTGAGAGATTAATGTGAGAAAATTAGGAAACCTCATGTGGAACATTTTTGAAATG